GGACAGCTGTGGCCATGCCGCATCCTCACTCAGCACAGAGTCTGGTGTGCGCTGCTGTGTGTGACCGTAGCTCGTTCCTCTCATTTTAAAGTTTTTTTTTTTTGTGTGTGTGTGTGTGTGTGTGTTTTTTAAATCAATCTTTATTGTTCATATTATTACAAAAGTTCCTCATTTCCCCCCGCCTCCACCAGGTTCCCACCCCACCCTCTGCCCTTTCCCCTCTCCCCATTGTCCTCATCCATAGGTGCACAGTTTATGTTCAGTCTCTTCCCACGCCCCCCTCTCCCCTTTTCCCCAAGAATCGTCAGTTCACTCCCCTTCCATACCTCTGATTCTATTATATTCAATAGTTAATATTGCTCATCAGATTTTTTTAATTTCCTTGGTTTTTAGATTCACTTGTTGATAGTTACGTATTTGTTGTTCATAATTTTTATCTTTGTTTACTTTCTCTTCTAAAAGAACCCCCTTCAGCAATTCATATAATTCTGGTTTGGCGGTGATGAACTCCTTTAGCTTTTTTTTATTAGTGAAGCTCTTTATCTGGCCTTCGATTCTGAGTGATAGCTTTGCTGGGTAGATTATTTTTGGCTGTAGGTTCTTGCTATTCATCACCTTGAATATTTCTTGCCATTCCCTTCTGGCCTGCATGGTTTCTGTTGAGAAATCAGCTGACAATCGTATAGCTGCTCCTTTATAGATTACTACCTTCTTTGCTCTTGCTTCTTTTAATATTCTCTCTTTGTCTTTTGCTCTTGGAATTTTAATAATGATGTGTCTCGGTGTGGTCCTCTTTGGATTCCTTTTGTTTGGAGTTCTGTGCGCTTCCTGGACTTGTAAGTCTAATTCTTTCACCAGGTGGGGGAAGTTTTCTGTCACTATTTCTTTCAGTATGTTTTTGATATTTTGCTCTCTCTCATCTTCTGGGACCCCAAAAATTCTGATGTTGGTTCGCTTGAAGTTGTCCCAGAGGTTTCTTACATTATCTTCAATTTTCTGGATTCTCTTGCCTTCTAGCTTCTGTGGAGGAGTGTCTTCTGGCTCTTTATGTTCCAAATCTTTGACTTGATTCTTGTGATCTTCCCTTCTGTTTTTAGGACTCTGTAAAATATTTTTTATTTCAGACAATGTATTCTTTATTTCTTGTTGATCCCTTATCATTTCTCGATGACTCCTTATTAATTCTAGTTGATCTCTTTTCATATCCTCATAGGCTTATCCATCTTTTCTAGGAAATTCTTGAAAAACCTTATAAGTGTAGATTTGAACTCAGTATCCAGACGCTTTTTGTCCTCCATTTCTTTCGTTTGTGATCTATTTTGTTGTCGCATTTCGCAGTTACAGATGGGACGGGGTTTCAGGGTGGAGCCTGCAGCTTTGGCTTCCGTCAGCCCCACCCTATGCGGGTCCGTCAGTGCTCGCTGCCGGCGCCTCTGAGAGAAAGGTGCCCTCGATTTTCGCCTGCTGCCAAACAGTCTATGCTCTCCCACAATGAGCCCGGTATTGGGGTTCAGTTCAGGTGGAAGTGGAGTTGGAGGTGGCGTTCAGAGCAGACTGGAGCCCCAGTCTCCTTCCCGTCAGGGCAATCCCACAGCACAGCCGACCGTCCCTTCTCTGTGCGCCGTGTGCGCGCCTCCGGGACCTCCTTTCGCCTCTCCCCGGGGTTCCGCCTTACAGCCGGCTCCCTATGGCTGAGCCTGAGTCCCAGGGGTCTGGCTTAAAACTGGGGATCAGAGCAGCCGGGGGCCCAGCACAGTCGGAGTTTTCTCTCCTTTCCGCTAGGGAACGCCCGCCAGGCACTCGGCCTCCCTCCTCTCCGGCTCCGTCCTCTCCGCGCAGCGCGTCTCCGTACCTTGGCTTTTCCAGCTCCTCCGCGCCTCCTTCTGGTTTTCTCCTTGCTTCTCACTGTAGAATTTCCAGTCAGTCAACCTTCCTGTAGTTCTGGGCAATGTCCGTTTTATGTTTTAGTTGTATTTTATTGAAATTGTTGTGTGCGGCTGCGGCTAGGTGTTCACCTGGGCGCAGCCATCTTGGATCTCCCTCATTTTAAAGTTTTTATTAGTAACGGGTGTTGACTTTGTCGAGAACTTATAAGATCAAATATATTCACACTCATGGTTCATAGCACCTAAGCACCATTCAACAGTTAGCTATGATACTCACCACCAGGGGGCAGACGCTCAATGCACAGGCATGGAAACATGGAACAGACTGATGAGTCTCAGAGGGAAGTGGAGAGGGCGGGAAGAGACTAACCAAAGATCTCACATGCATACTGGCGGCCTGGTGCAGGGATTCGTGCACTAGTGGGGTCCCTCGGGATTGGGCCAGAACTGTCAGTCTGACATCCCCCCAACGGGTCCTGGATGGCGAGAGGGTGCAGGCCAGGCTAAGGGACCCCTCCGGTGCACAGGCCCCGAGCCTCTAGTTAAAATATAAAGGCTGTGCTTTGTTGATATTTTTTTAAGTTCACAATTTTTAGAAAGTTAAATAGTAGGTTCAAATTAGGAATTATAGAAGAGAGGCAAAATCTCATGGCCTTTTTAGCATTCAAAATTTTACTTCTCACTTTGATCGCACACTATAAGAAGTCCGAGGGGGTAAATAACCATCTGTTAGTGCTTTGCAATCTCAGTCTTTGGTTGAAATGGCCCAGACCGGGTGGGTGGGCAGGTGGAGTTTCTGGTCTGAGACCTCGTCGTGGACGTTGCACCGCTGCTTTTGGGCTTTCCCAGAGGTCACGGGGCGGGGCACCCAGCTGTGAGGACGAGACTCAAGCAGCGGCTTTGAAACCTCATTCTGGGGGAGCACCTGGGCAATGGGAGGCTGTTTGTATCCTTACGCCTCGCGTGGTGTGACTGTTCACACGCTTGGCTATGTCGGCGCCAGGGCGCTCTGGGGGGTTTGGGCAGAGCAGGGTCGGCCTTGACAATGCCATCTGTTCCAGCTGCCCCCGCAACGGTGGCAGCCCCCGCGCCCCAGAACGGTGGCAGCCCCCGCGCCCCAGAACGGTGGCAGCCCCCGCGCCCCAGAACGGTGGCAGCCCCCGCGCCCCAGAACGATGGCAGCGCCCCAGAACGGTGGCAGCGCCCCAGAACGGTGGCAGCCCCCGCGCCCCAGAACGGTGGCAGCCCCCCCAGAACGGTGGCAGCCCCCAGAACGGTGGCAGCGCCCCAGAACGGTGGCAGCGCCCCAGAACGGTGGCAGCGCCCCAGAACGGTGGCAGCCCCCCAGAACGGTGGCAGCGCCCCAGAACGGTGGCAGCGCCCCAGAACGGTGGCAGCCCCCCAGAACGGTGGCAGCGCCCCAGAACGGTGGCAGCGCCCCAGAACGGTGGCAGCGCCCCAGAACGGTGGCAGCCCCCCAGAACGGTGGCAGCGCCCCAGAACGGTGGCAGCGCCCCAGAACGGTGGCAGCGCCCCAGAACGGTGGCAGCGCCCCAGAACGGTGGCAGCGCCCCAGAACGGTGGCAGCGCCCCAGAACGGTGGCAGCCCCCCAGAACGGTGGCAGCGCCCCAGAACGGTGGCAGCCCCCCAGAACGGTGGCAGCCCCCGCGCCCCAGAACGGTGGCAGCCCCCCAGAACGGTGGCAGCGCCCCAGAACGGTGGCAGCCCCCCAGAACGGTGGCAGCGCCCCAGAACGGTGGCAGCCCCCCCAGAACGGTGGCAGCGCCCCAGAACGGTGGCAGCCCCCCCAGAACAGTGGCAGCGCCCAGATGGGTTTGGTTGAGAAGTTTTAAATAACAAATGACACCGTTAGCTTTTGAAAACAGCTCACCCTTCTGGCTACAGTGTTCGTAGCAACCTCTCTATCATGCTTAAAGTCAGAGGCCACGTGCTTCTCAGCTCAGGCTAACTTCCCACATCTGCCCCAGTCTATTGGAGACTGCTGATGTCACACCTCCTGGAAGCCATTGGCTTCTGGCAAAGGGAGGGGTGGGAAGTGGATACTTAAGCTTGATGAGGCCAGGAGGAAGGTTGATCTGTGTGTGGACACTGTCCCCCACATGGTGAGGGAAGGCTGGGCCACCAGACAGGCATGACGGTCTCACTGCTGCAGTGGTCAGGGGACGGCCGAGCCCGAGCAGCCCTCCTGTGCTCATGGCAGCCGGTCCCCGGGGCCTTGAGAGTCAGGACAGGGAGGGTATGAGGGACAGAAAGGTGGCGGGGGGAGGGGGGTGGTGGTGCCCTGTGCCAGCTGCCCCTGCCCACTATGAGCTGCGAGTTTGTTCTGAACTAGGCATTCCCAGCTTTCCTCCAGGGAGCAGGCCCGGGATCGCCTGGCCTGCGTTGGTGGCCACAGCCGGCGCCCTGGGGCCTGCGTGTGGATGGAGAGGCTTGGGTGCTCGGATTCAGAAGCCCCTGTGGTCTCCCAGGGGCTCACAAGCCCGGTGCAGGGGAACGGAGCATGCGCGTGGGTTTGCGTGTCGTGGGCCAGGGGGACAGGGCTGTGAGCCAGGCAGCCTGAGGGAGCAGCCCTGCTCGTTGCTGGGCGAGGGGAGCTGTGAGGGGCCGGGTGGAGGCAGTGGGCGTGGCGAAGGCTTCGCTGGGTGTTTGCCGTTTGCACAGACACCTCTGGGACTGGGGATGGTCTGGGCCATCGTTTACTGTCTGTCCTCGTCCTCGTCCTCACTGCTCCTCGGGATTGTTCAGGAATGGCAGGTCTTTGTAGGAGGCGACCTGCTGGGGAGAGGGCCTGCCTGCTCCCCCCCTCCCCCCCCAGATTCTCACAGCTTGTGGGAACGGGCCTTGGAGACCACCCAGAGCTGGGGGTGTCTGTTCCTGGCCCGGCTTTTGCTGACAGTGTTTGGGTCCAGCCTGCCCACGTGAGGCCCAGCCCCTGTGGCTCGGGGGCAGCTCCTCCACCCACCCTGCTCTGGAGGGAAGGGCGGGTGGCGTCCAGCATCAGGAAGGGAAGGGGTGGGGTGTGCTTTGTGCGCTGGGAAGACGGTGCGTGGGGGAGGGGGGTCAGACATGGCTGTTTCCTCTCTTCCTTCCAGGCGTGTCCCGCTGGGTGGCTGTGCTCCCGTCCACTCCGTGCAGCTCTCCTTCGGAGGCGACCCCCTGGGCTGCTGGACCCGGAGGCCCCAGCACGCGTGTGCGGCGGCCCCAGCCTGGGCCCCGGCCTCCGCGGGCCTGCTGGTGGCCCCGCCCTGGCTCCTGCCCTCACGCGGCTGGCACTCCTCGCCCAGGCTGCGTGACGACTCGGTGGTGGAGAAGTCGCTCAAGTCCCTCAAGGACAAGAACAAGAAGCTGGAGGAGGGCGGGCCGGTGTACAGCCCCCCCGCGGAGGTGGTGGTGAAGAAGTCCCTGGGGCAGCGGGTGCTGGACGAGCTGAAGCACTACTACCACGGCTTCCGTCTGCTCTGGATCGACACCAAGATCGCCGCGCGCATGCTCTGGCGCATCCTCAACGGGCACACGCTGACCCGCCGCGAGCGCAGGCAGGTAATGCCCACGCCCCGCCCGCCCCGCCCGCCCGCCGGCGTGTCCGGTGCCTGAGTCTGTCCTCTGGCTGCTGCTCCGCCCACGGCCTGTCTGAGCCGCCTCTCGCGGGCTGTGACCTGCCTCTCGTCGCGTTGCTGTCCATTGTCCTGGGCTGTGCGCCTCCTCCGAGGCTGTTTGCACGGCTTGTTGGGGATCTGTGCTCCCGGACCCCGTTGTCTTTCGTTTGTGCTGAGCCCCAGGGCACAGGGCAGCCTCCAGCCCTCGGGGCCTCGGCGCGAGGAGCACAGGATGTCCTCCCCTCACGGCTGACGCCAGGCTCCTCCGTGAGAAGATGGCCTTGGTCACAGCGGGCTGCGTGTGAGCACTGGCTCCGCTTTGTGCTGCGCTCGGGCCCGTTGACAGCACGGTGTGCTCGCCGGCTGGGGCCCAGGGGTGCTGGTGAGGAGGCTGCAGCGGGTGATTGAAGGCCGGGGGATTGGAATCTCCTGCTGGGTGTTCATGGACACGGTGGCCATGCACGCTGCCTTCTGAGGGATCACAGCAGACGGCCGTGTGGCCCAGGCCCTCTGTCCTGTCCTGTCTGTGAGACAGTCGCAGGGCCCTGCTGCTGCCCTGAAGGCGGTGTGCGCTGTCATGAAACACACAGTTGACCCTAGCCGGGCTCAGCGGTTGGAGCATTGGCCTGAGGACTGAAGGGTTGCAGGTTTGATTCTGGTCAAGGCACATGCCTCAGCTGTGGGAGGCAACCAATTAGCGTGTCTCTCTCACATCCATGTTTCTCTCTGTCTCCCTCCTTCCCACTCTCTGAAAGTCACCAGAAAAGTATCCGTGGGTGAGAATTAACAACAAAACAAAGCACAGGCACCCGCTGGACAGGCCTTCCCAGGACCAAATCTGGGCCACTTGAGCACAAAATAAGAACAAGGATGCATTGTAAACAAGTGAAAACGTAGGGTCCGCGCGTCTGTTTTGATAACAAACAGAAAATGAAGGTCAGGAAAGGAAGCAAAGCGGGTGAGCGGGGAGAGGGCGTGAGCGAGGAGGCCGCTTCTCTGGGAGCATCGGTGGAGATGTTTGGAAGAACCGTGGCTGGTGACCTGGGGGGGAGGTGGGCGTGGGCCGGGCCTCCTGTGTCCTCTTGGCTCCCCCTGGCCCCGCCCAGCAAGCGAACGGGTTCTCAGCGGGGACAGCCCCAAGCCCAGCAGGGCCGACGTCTCCCCAGAGGCCTCAGAGGGTCCATGGGCTTGGGCCGAGGGCGTGGAGGGCAGCCTGGCCCGGCTGCAGCAGTGGGAGCGAAGCCGCGCTCGCCTGGGGTTCTGACGACCTCCAGGCCACGTCTTTGGCGGCGGGGGCGGCGGCCGTGTGTCTATATTGGGGAGTGCTTGGGTTTCCGCCGATGACGGCCGTGCCGGTGAGTCCTAAACGGAACCCTTTCTGGAAAAGCCAGAGCAGTGCACGGCAGCGGCCAGGCCAGCCGTGGGCAGCACTTGTTTTCCTCAGTTTCCCTCAGAGCAGGCCCGGGTCCCGGGACAGGGCCTCGGGGGGGTTGGGGGGGGGGCAGAGGCCCCTGTGCCAGGCTGCTCCGCAGGTGGGTCAGCTCCCGCCAGCTCTCCGAGGCCCCCAGAGGCCCCTGTGCCGGGCTGCTCCGCAGGTGGGTCAGCTCCCCCCAGCTCTCCGAGGCCCCCAGGGGCCCCGTGTTTCTGTGGGTCGCCTGTGGCCTGAGCTCCCGGCGTGCGGACGCGCACCGTGACCTCTGACCACCCGCTCTCGGCAGTTCCTCCGGATCTGCGCCGACCTCTTCCGCCTGGTGCCCTTCCTGGTGTTCATCGTGGTGCCGTTCATGGAGTTCCTGCTGCCGGTCGTGGTGAAGCTCTTCCCCAACATGCTGCCGTCCACGTTCGAGACCCAGTCCATCAAGGTGAGCTCCGCCGTGCTCCGCGAGTGACCCTTCCTGGTGCCACGGGGAGGGAGGGGTCACTGGGGGGTAGGGGGTGGATGGGGATCACCAGGGGCGGGGAGGGGGGTAGGGGGTGGATGGGGATCACCGGGGGTGGGGTGGGGGGTAGGGGGTGGATGGGGATCACTGGGGGCGGGGTGGGGGGTAGGGGGTGGATGGGGGATCACCGGGGGCGGGGAGGGGGGTAGGGGGTGGATGGGGGATCACCGGGGGCGGGGTGGGGGTTAGGGGGTGGATGGGGGATCACCGGGGCGGGGGGGGGGGAAGGGGGTGGATGGGGGATCACCGGGGGCGGGGTGGGGGGTAGGGGGTGGATGGGGGATCACCGGGGGCGGGGGGGGGGGTAGGGGGTGGATGGGGATCACCGGGGGCGGGGTGGGGGGTAGGGGGTGGATGGGGGATCACCGGGGGCGGGGAGGGGGTAGGGGGTGGATGGGGATCACCGGGGGTGGGGTGGGGGGGTAGGGGGTGGATGGGGGATCACTGGGGGCGGGGTGGGGGGTAGGGGGTGGATGGGGGATCACCGGGGCGGGGAGGGGGGTAGGGGGGTGGATGGGGGATCACCGGGGGTGGGGAGGGGGGTAGGGGGTGGATGGGGGATCACCGGGGGCGGGGAGGGGGGTAGGGGGTGGATGGGGGATCACCGGGGCGGGCGGGCTGCTCTCTCGGAGGTGTTTGCAGCACACCTTCTCTGTACCCGTGTCTTCAGGCCGGTGTGAGACCACCTGGGGGATTCGGGCCAGCCCAGCTGCGGGCCCGGCCTGTTGGGTCAGGGAGGCTGTGGGGACACATGCTACCATATGCGCTCTGCAGCCCGCTCTGGGCGCAGGGTGAGACGGAGCTGGCGGAGGTGCCCAGCAGCGCGGGGAGGGTCTGGGCAGAGGACAGCTCTGTCTCTGCCCGCAGGAGGAGCGCCTGAAGAAGGAGCTGCGGGTCAAGCTGGAGCTGGCCAAGTTCCTGCAGGACACCATCGAGGAGATGGCCCTGAAGAACAAGGCGGCCACGGGCAGCGCCACCAAAGACTTCTCCTTGTTCTTCCAGAAGGTGCCCTGATGCTCCGGAGCCCCCGTGGCCTCAGCCCTGTCCTTAGTGCTGGTTAGAGCCTCGGGCCGCCTGCCTCCCCGGGGAGTGGTCCTCATTGCCGTGCTCCCTTTTCTGCTGCAGCAGCAGGGGTGCTCCCATGGGCAGGCGGGGGGGGGGGGGGGGGGCGGCTGCTGCCCGGGTCTGTGGAGGTCCCCTCCACCCCAGGTGGAACCTCTGTCCGAGAACTTGAACCTGCTGTGTTCAGTTACTTGCCTGTGCCTCCAACTTTGCAGCAGCCCCAGGAGAGGGAGAGTTTGGCAAATGAGGAACCTAAGACCCTGCAGGGTGATAAGCCGGGGGGGGGGGGGGGGGGGCAGGGAAGAGGATGGACTGAGCCATGGCTGAGGTGTGGGGAGAGCGGCAGGGCCTCCTCCCCAGCAGGGGGAGGTCGGGCGGGCCTCTTCCAGTCGCCAGCCTCCCCTCCGGCTGGGCTGCCCCTGGGGCTGAGCCTTAGAGACTGCTCCCCGCTGGTGCCTGATAGTCCAGGCGACCCCCTCCCCAGCCCCTGTCCTCATTTCCTCGCTTGGGGCGATTGGCCCCTGGGCCTGGGAGGGTGTGTGTGTGTGTGTGTGTGTGTGTGTGTGCGTGCGCGCGCGCACGGGTGCATGCGTGAGCGTGTGCATGCTCAGGGAACAAGCCCCATCACGGGTGACACTCAGCATTGCTCCTGCAGATCCGAGAGACCGGAGAGAGGCCCAGCAACGAGGAAATCATCCGCTTTTCCAAACTATTCGAGGACGAGCTGACCCTGGATAACCTCACGCGGCCGCAGCTGGTGGCGCTGTGCAAGCTGCTGGAGCTGCAGTCCATGGGCACCAACAACTTCCTGCGCTTCCAGCTCACCATGCGGCTGCGCTCCATCAAGGCGGACGACAAGGTGAGGGCACCTCCCGGGCGGGCCTCCTCCCGGAGGAGGTGGTCACGGGGGTCCGTCAGCCGCCTCCGCGCTGTGCCCGCCGGGTGAGGCGTGCGTGCTGCCTGCGGGGATAGACGGTGCTGGGCCTGCCGTCCACATGCTCCCGCCCGGCGTGGCATCGGGACCTTCCCATGTCGCCCCGTGTCCTTGGGAAGGTGTATTCTGATGCCTGGTGGTGCTCCCTCGGAGGAGTGTGTTCTGACTTGTTCCTTACTGTAGCCAGCCTGCTGCTGCCCTAAACAGCACCCAATACACTTCTTCTTTTTAATTAATATGCTCTTACTGACTTTAGAGAGAGGAAGGGGGAGGGATAGAGACACTAGAAACAGCGATTGGCTGCCTTCTGCACACCCCACACTGGGGATTGAGCCCACAACCTGGGTATGTGCCCTGCCTGGGAATTGAACCATGACCTCCTGGTTCAGAGGTCAGTGTTCAACCTCTGAGCCAACTGACCAGGCAGATTTCTTTTAATGTGGACTTTTGCCCAAGATCTCTGGTAATTTCCTTAAAAGTAGTGGCTGGGAATTGGGCCTCTGAGTAACAGGCAGGAAGTCAAAACAAGTCCTGGCCCACGACCAGTGCTCCTGCCCATTTGCCTGCTGAGCACCCGAGGTGCTTGGAGGAGAATTCATGGCACAGCCCTCTTCTGCATAGCTCTCCTTGCCTGAGGAATCTGTCCCTGCTCCCCGTTTCCCAGCTTTCCCTTCCAGCTCCCAGCCCTCCATCTGCCACACGCTTGTCGTCTGGCCTCTAACGCCTGCTCAGTCCGCAGTCTGTGTGTGACACTGGTCTCCTCTCGCCTTGTTTTGAGGAACCAAGTGTTGTCTGTCACCCACCCCCTCTGGTGACGTGCTTGTCACTGGGCAGTTCCCTGGAGCTACAGCCCACTCCCTCCTGCCCGTTTCCGTGCCCACATCTCCGCCTGAGCCAGCGCCCGGTGACCCTCTCAGTCCCTCCGCGCGGGCGCTGACTGCCTTTTGGTTTCCAGGTGCCGTTCGGGCTGGGCGGCGGCTGTTCTCGGAAGGGGCCAGCTGACAGCCGCCACCACTTGCTTCATGTTTGATTTTAGCCGTTTAGGATGATACTGTGCATGCCTGTTTATCCTGTTTGCAGGTCGGAGTGCTCCCCCCACCTCATAAGTTCTCCCCTCGCCTCTTCGCCCCTCTCCTCCCCTCCCATTCCCTCCCTTCCCCTCCCCTCCACTCCCCTCCCCTTCCAGACACCCACTTCTCCCCTTCCCTCTTTACCATGGCCTGTCCCTCTCACTCTTCTCTGTACTTTACGTCCTTTCGTACTTCTGGGTTTAATTAATCACTCTTTTAACTCTTTTCCTTTATTGATTTGAGGTGGGGGGATAGAATCTACCTGTTGTTGTCTCTTACTTATGCCTTCAGTGGTTGACTTTGTATGCACCCTGACTGGGGATCAGACCTGCACCTTGGTGTGTCAGGATGACGCTCTACCCCCTGAGCCGCCCGGCCAGGGCATGGGTTTAATTACTCTCAGACCCATTCTGAGTTCCTCATTTCAGTGCCAGGCCTTTCTAAGATTTCATTTCCCACATAAAACTGTCCCTCTTGCTGTCTGTCTTCCTGAGCACGCTCGTCCTAGTTCACGTCTTATAATTCCGTAACAGATGAAGCAGAGGGTTTGGTTTGCTTGTTTGTTTGCTCTCTTGGCTCAGCTTGTTTGTCGTCGTTAGCTTTTCAGGTAGAGACCGCGTCTGAGGGAGAGGTTCTGGGTGGTGTGGTCCTCCTCCAGACGCTCCACAGGTCATCATCCCAGGACTGGCCCTGCTTCCGGTGCCCTCTGCCTGGAGCTCTCAGCACAGCCTGGTGCCCGTCTGCCGCGCAAGGCTCTGCCAGTCCTTCCCGGCGCCCGCTTAGTGTGAGGCCCGACGCCAGGGGTTCCTGTGCTTTCTTCTCTGGACTGAGCCCCGGACTGCTGCTGCTTCTGCCTAGCCTGGCAAGATGGCTGCCTCTTAGCAGTGGTCTTTGGCCTGGACTCCGCCTGCTCCGAGTCGGCTCACAGATGGCAGCCCGGTCCGCCCCAGCCCACGGACTCTCACTGCCCCCTCAGCCCGGTTGTCGGCGCTCATCCCCACACGTGCCCATGTGCTGTGGTCCCTGGTTCTCCGGTTCTCAGGCAGCTGCCCTCCCGTCATCCTGAGTGTGGGGCCAGAGGAGCTCGGCATGGCCCTCTGTGCTGCTCCGGGGCGTGCTCAGGCTCACTCTGCCGGGGGCGGCCGCCGGGAGGCAGCTCCAGGCAGGCGTCACTCCCCTGCCCTGTGACCTTGGACAAGTCATTTCACCGTGAAGGCCTCAGTTCCAACGACGCCACTGCCGGGAAGGGGAGTGGACACTCCCCCTGGACAGGAGCAGGAAGCAGACCTGGAAGGCGGCGGTGTGGGGAGAAGAGCCTGGGACCCCAGGAACCACAGTGCGTCTTGTCCCTCAGGTCCCAGCCTCCGGTGGCCAGAATCACTGGCAGGTCCAGAGCCTGCTCTCCGCCAGGAACAGGATAGGCTCGCCTGGGAGACACTGCCCATGGGAAACCTGCAGCATCAAAGCAGCACCATAGCTGTCCCAGAATGCACCTGGGTGCCCCTTAGAGGCTGGCGGATGCACAGAGAGGTCGGGGCAGGGGAAGGAGCCTGCTGCTCCAGGTTCCCTGGAAACGGCCACAGCGCCCTTCGGGCCTCTGTGCGACCTTGGTGCCCCCGAGCGGGAAGCGGCAGCAGCAGCAGGGTAGGTGGGCGGAGAGGGGTTGGCTGTTGTCACTGGGGGGGGGCGGGGGGGCAGCTGGAGACGGCGGTTGGGCAGGAAGTGAAGCGGAGTCGGGGTTTGTGGTTAGAGGGTCTGGAAGATGATTCTGTGCGCCCACGAAAGCTGGGCTGCCAGGGACCTGCAAATAGCTTGGGCCATCGACAGATGCCAGATCATCAATTACAAAATCTATAATTGGTTAGAACACCGCCCCTAACTCTCCCAGAGCCCGTCAGGGGCAGCTGAGGGAGGAGAGAAACGGGATCTGGAGTCTCATAACGTGACACTCCGCACGCCCGGTTCCAATCGGAAGCCGCTCCTCCTGGATACCTTGGTGGTGGGCCCTCCCCTGGATGGACAGGACAAGAGACAGGCTCCGTGAACAAGGAAATAGTAGACTTTAACACCTGAACGATGAGGACAGAGAAAAGCGGTCAGAGCCTCGGGGACCTGTGGGCACTGCAGAACTTCCAACATACTGTCGTGGGGTTCCGGAAAGAGAAGGGCCGGACAGAGCTAGAAAAGTGCTCAAAGAAGTCATGGTTGGCACGTCCTTCGTCCTTCAGTTCTACGAATGTGAGCAGCCGAGGGAACCTCGGACAGATAAACCCAAAGAAGCCCACACCCTGCCGGACCGTCAGTCAAACTGGCGAGCATACAAGGACGAAAACAATGAGGACAGCCTCTGACCGCAGGACAAAGGATCGATGCTGGCCCGCACTGTCCAGCACTCTCCCTGCAGGGCGAGGAGGAAGCCGGCCTTTCTCAGAAGAGGAGAGCTGAGGTGTGTCGACAGCAGGCACATGCTCGCAGAGCGATGGAGGCTTCCTGCACGGGAAGTGATGGGGGAGCCTGGGACACCAGGAAGGAAACACCAGATCAGCCCAGCAGGCTCTCCTCCTCCTCGCATGTCTCCTAATGACGTTGATGGTCGCAGCACGGATGATGGCCTGTGGCGTGTGGCTCTCCGTGTGAGCGAGGGGAGAGGGCCGGGGCTCGAGGACTGTGGTGAGGACACTCGCAGGCTGACGGCCACGCAGGTGTGTGGTGCCCAGCGGGGCCACGGGCGGGGCTGGCTCAGCAGTGAGGACACGCCGGGCGCAGGGCAGGCGGTGCAGGCTTCCTCCTGTGCGCTGGCGAGAGGCCCTGGGCAGGAATTGCTGCGAGGCTCTGGGATTTTGTTTTGTTTGAATATATATATATATATATATATATATATTTTTTTTTTTTTTAATATATTTTATTGATTTTGTACAGAGAGGAAGGGAGAGAGATAGAGAGTTAGAAACATCAATGAGAGCCATCGATCAGCTGCCTCCTGCATACCCCCTACTGGGGATCTGCCCGCAACCAAGGTACATGCCCTTGACCGGAATCGAACCTGGGACCCTTCAGTCCCCAAGCCGACGCTCTATCCATTGAGCCAAACCGGTCCCCGCTGAATATATATTTTTTAAACATTTTATTGATTTTTTTACAGAGAGGAAAGGAGTGGGATAGAAACATTGATGAGAGAGAAACATGGATCAGCTGCCTCCTGCACACCCTCTCCTGCGGATATGCCCGCAACCAAGATACATGCCTCTGACCGGAATCAAACCCGGGACCCTTCAGTCCGCAGGCTGACACACTATCCACTGAGCCAAACCGGTCAGGGCTGAATATATTTTTTTAAATGATTTCAGGGAGGAAGGGAGAGGGAAAAAGAGGGAAAAACATCCATGTTGAGAGAATCATGGATCGACTGCTTCCTGCACGCCCCCCACTAAGGATCAAGCCCACACCCAGTCATGAGCCCTGACCAGGAATCGAACCGTGACCTGGTTTATCTGGTTCATAAGTCGGCGCTCAGACACCGGGCAACACCAGCCGTGCTCACTGCTTTTGAGAACTTGAGCCCAGCTAGCCTCCAGGAGCCCTTTTTAGTAAGCGTCTTACTCAGGGTCCACACAGGAGGGCACCCAGAAACACCAGCGAGAAGCCACAGTGGGGGCGGAATCCTGAGGAGGGTGGGGCGAGAGCAGACACGCAGTTCTTCCTGAGCGCTGGCTGCGAGCTGGGCTGTGCTCCTTGGCACGAAAAGGCAGTAAGCCGTGGATACACCGCAGCCTGGTGAATGGTCCTCATGGGGTCCCCGCAAGTTACGTGGCCCTGTGTGCGCGCTCATCGGGTGGCCGGGAGATGACCCGGGTTCGGGCGGCTGGGCGTGAGGCGGCGGGAGGGCCTGTCTGTCACCGGGCTGTGATCTTGTTCTGCACTTTGTTTCATCTCAGGATGAAAGTTTAAGAAGCTGGGGTGGGGGCAGCACTGTCCCCCTCAGGACGCTGTGAGGTTGGCTGGGCCGATGAGGTGGGGGTGTGGGGACAGACGGGAGCGCCTGTGGTGCTTTGTCTCTCTCCCTCCTTCCTCCCCCTCTCCTCTTCCCCCCTCTCCTCTCCCCTCTCTCCCTTCTCCCCCCCTCCCTCCTTGCAGGTATCTTTGTGCTGCAATCCATGGTCCTTGTCTCGGGCCTCCTGCTCGTCCCCCTTCTCCCTCAGGCCGGGAGCGGTGGCTGAGTCGCTCTGCTCTGTCCTTTCTCTCCCGTCCAGCAAACAGGGCTCGGCTCGGGGAGGGTGGGCGGGCCGTGGGGCAGGTGCTGGGACCCCCTGCGGGCCTGGGTGGAGGCGCCCTCCCTCCAGTCTCCGATCGTGGGGGGTGCTGCCGGGTGCACTCGCCCAGTCCTCCTCAGTTCGTTCCTGTCCCTGCCACCTGGTGGGGCCTGGTAGGTGTGTGACGTACAAAGCCTCTGCTCCTGAGTCCCTGCTGCCTCTTCAGAGGACAGCGCACTGAGCACCGTCTCTTTTCCAGCTCATCTCAGAGGAGGGTGTGGACAGCCTCAACGTCAAAGAGCTGCAGGCGGCGTGCCGGGCGCGAGGCATGCGGGCCCTGGGCGTGACGGAGGACCGCCTGCGGAACCAGCTGAAGCAGGTGCGTGCGTGCCTGCGCGCGGCCGGCCCGGCCGAGGTCGTGGGCCTTCTTCCTGCAGTCGGTCTGCTCCTCGGGAGCGCGGGGAGACTTGCAGTCCTGCGGCTCGCGGGCAGCAGCCGGGCCGCGGGGGTGTCCTCGTGGCCGTGGGCTCCCACGCGAGGGACTCAGGCTGTGGCGCAGTGTGTCCGTGCGGAGGCCGGTGGTCTCGGGCATCATCGGGGTGGGTGAGCGCCGAGACAGCTTCTGAGACGCGGCGTGTCTCCAGAGCCACGTTCTGGTGCCCTGCTCCTCCAGGGGCTCGGGCAGCTCTGCCCGCCCGGTGGATCGGCCCTCGGAAAGGCGGTGGCTCTCGGCGATTCGCCTGCCGCTTCGGAAGGTGCAAAGCCTGCCGTGTGCCCGTGGCCCTCCTCCTGACCGCCGTGCTGCGGCCCCTCCCATGGGGTCAGGAGGCAGATGCGCGGCACCCCGGTCCCCTGTCGCTATGGGCTTGGCCCCGCTTGTCACTGGCGGCCGCATCTTCTGTGCGTGCGTGCGGCCCTGCCCTGTGCCGCCGAGGGCCGGAGCGCCGCGGCTCCCGCCTCCACGGAGCCCACGGGCGCGTCCACGTGTGCTCGCCCCTCCCTCTCGGCTCCTTGCTCTCCTTAGCATTGCTCCCGATCTCTGAGTTCCTTCTCACGTTTGTCCCGTGCCAGCTCCTGACAGGTATTGTCAGGTCTCCTGTCAGCTTGAACGTTGCCTTTCTGTCACTGAAATAGCCTGAAGTGGTGCCTGGCCCGCAGTAGGTGGGGAGCCGCCCAGGCTGGGGGATTCACAGACACCGCAGGGCTCTGTGCCGTTAGAAGCGGGGCCTGGCTGGCAGCGAATCTGCCGTCAGTTTGGGGCCTGAGCGCTAACTCGGGGTCCTCTGGCGTCTGGTGCAGTGACCCATGGGCATCGGGTCAGGAACGGAGGCAGTGAATCGGCTCCATCCGCCCACGTCCTGTTGTGGCTGTTGGTCCCGCCCTCCCCCTCCTCCCCCAACCAGAGAGAGCAGGCGGCGCGGGCAGGCCCCGCCTGCCAGGTCTCCGGTGTGGGGCGGGCAAGGCAGCCGATGAGGCCAGGTCTGACCTCCTTTGCAGTGGCTGGAGCTGCACCTGCAGCAGGAGATCCCCACGTCGCTGCTCATCCTGTCCCGAGCCATGTACCTCCCCGACACCCTGTCGCCTGCCGACCAGCTCAAGTCCACGCTGCAGACCCTGCCCGAGATCGTGGTGCGTACTGCCGAGGCCTCCTGCCCTGCCTCCAGGCCCGGCTTCTGAGGGCGGGACCACACGACACCGTCCCCGCCATGGGGCTCTCGCACCCTCCCCCTCACCCCCTCTCGGTCTGTCCTCTGAGCGGTCAGGGGTGGGAGACCTGGGGGACCTCGGGCCCTGCATTGTGTCTGCGTCCTCCAAGCCTGGGGGAGGACAGTCAGGGTCGGGTGTGGCCTCTAGGGTGGCAGCCTGCGGCTCACCCAGGGGCGCCCTCTCTGAAGGCCAAGGAAGCACAGGTGAAGGCGGCGGAGGTGGAGGGGGAGCAGGTGGACAACAAGGCGAAGCTGGAGGCCACGCTGCAGGAGGAGGCCGCCATCCGGCAGGAGCACCGGGAGGAGCGGCAGAGGCGCTCGGAGGAGGCCGCGGTGAGTGCCGGGTGCCGCGAGCTCCCGCTCCACTCCTGCCTCGGGGACGGGCCTGGGCCCGGGGGGACGGGGCCTGCTGTGCAGGGTCCTCCCCTTTCCTTCTGGAGTGGTGGGCACAGCCGGGCAGGCGTGCTCGGCAGCCCCCGGGGCCAGCTCAGCCGCCAAGGCTGTGCTCCTGGCCCGGGTAGGCTCCATGCGTGTCAGGACGGGCCGGAGGGCGGGAGAGGCTGGGCCACTGAGTGGCCGTTTGGAGAGGTCATCCTGCTGGGCACTCTGAGTCCACCGTTCGGGCTGGCTGTTGAGCGTGCCCTCCGGCCGGGGGCACATCAGTGTGGTGTGGGCGCCTAGGGAGGCCGTGAGGGGGATGGCACTGAGTGGCCGGCCTGTGTTTCAGAAGGAAGTGGCGCCTGAAGCGGTGGAAGCTGCCCCCGGGAAGCCCGTGGCTGAGCCGCAGGCTGAAGTGGTGGAGGTGACCCTGCCATCAGAGGCCCTGAAGGACACGGCCCCCGTCCTGACGGGTGTGAAGGTGACAGTGCCACGCCCGCACAGGGTGCGGGCAGCCTGTGCCCGCTGAGATTCTGCCCTCAGTGAGCCCTTCATCAGCCTTGGCTGTGCTTCCTTCCCAGGAGGAGGAGATAACCAAGGAGGAGATCGACATCCTCAGCGACGCCTGCTCCAAGCTGAAGGAGCAGAAGACTTCCCTGACGAAGGAGAAGGAGGAGCTGGAGATGCTCAAGGAGGATGTGCAGGACTACAGCGAGGTGCGGGCCAAGGGCTGAGGGTGCGGGCCAGGGAGCTGAGGGTGCAGGGCGGGGAGCTGAGGGTGCAGGGCGGGGAGCTGAGGGTGCAGGCCAGGGGCTGAGGGTGCAGGACTACAGCGAGGTGCGGGCCGGGGGCTGAGGGTGCGGGCTGGGGGCTGAGGGTACAGGCCAGGGGCTGAGGGTGTGGGCCGGGGACTGAGGGTGCAGGGCTGGGGCTTGTGGGGTTTGCTCCTAAGACTATGGTTTCTACCAGTTTCCAAAAGTACCTCCATTGAGTATCTGATAAGCCAAAGGTCACGCTATTCCTCCAGGCCCTTGGAGAGGAAGGGGTCTGACCAAGTCCTCTTCAGGCACCCTGTGCAGCCCAAGCCGCTGCCTCCTGGGAGCGGCCGTCCCTGGTGTCCCGCGGCTCTGCCAGGAAAGATGGCAGCCTCCGGGCGGGGCTCGTTAGAAAGCAGGTCCCTCCTACGCTCACCCCCCCCCCCCCCAGCTGGTGTGGGCGGAAGGCCATGCTGACCACTCTGATCATCTGTCACTCCACACGGAGGGTGAGGGCCAGGCAGACTGCATCTCCTTTCTAGACGAGGGGTGCGAGTCTGCGGAGCCCAGAGCAGTGTGTGCGGGGCGCAGGCGGGTGCCAGGGGGAGTGGATCCCAGGGGGAGCTGTGTGTGAGGGGCTTCCCAGGGCAGTCTCCAGCGCGCTGCTCTCTCAGGACTTGCAGGAGATTAAGAAGGAGCTTTCCAAGACGGGCAAGCAGATGGAGGTGGAGGAATCCAAGGCCAGCAAGAGGCTGACCAAGCGCGTGCAGCAGATGATCGGGCAGATCGACGGCCTGCTCACCCAGCTGGAGGCGGACCAGCAGGCTGGCAAGCTGGGCCCCGCCGCCCCGGGCCTGCCCGCGGGGTGAGTGTGGCCGGACAGAGGGCTGGGGCTGCTGACCCGTGCGGCCACCGCCGTGGTGCCCAGCGGCCCCGCCGTGACCCAGTGGTTTCCGCCAGAAACCCTGCCCCATCTGCCTCTTCTCCAGGAGGCTCCCGTCAGCTCTCCACCCCGGCCCCTAGGCGCCACTGTCCGCTGCCTGCCTGCCCGCCGCGGCCCCTCGCTGCAGGCGGCTCAGCTCCCCTTTTCCCACTCACCGCCCTCCAGCCTCAGCCCCCCTCGGCCCCGCCCTCGGCACTGACCACGTGGTGTCCCCGTGTGGCTGCCCCAGGCGGTGGCTGCCCCTCGTGCCGGCTCTGTGCTGTCCTGTCCTCGGATGAGGGCAGCGTCCCTCCTGCGTCCCCTCAGGCCGTGCACAGGCTGCCCTCGCCACACTGCTGGGCTGAGTGGGCCCACCTGCCTCGCTGGTCCAAAGACAGTGCTCCCCAGTGTATGGGCGGGCTGGCCGGGGCCTGGAGCCGGGTGCAGGCTGTCACCGGCGGGCTCTTCCCTTCACCCCTCCCAGGGACACTGTCATCAGCGTCACCGAGCTCATCAACGCCATGAAGCAGATCAAGCACATTCCAGAACACAAGCTCATCAGCCTGGTCTCCGCCCTGGACGACAACAAAGACGGCAAGGTCAACATCAACGACCTGGTCAAGGTGGGTCCGAGGCCGCCAGGGCTGCTGGTGTGGTGGCTGGTGGGCAGACCCCGGGGGGGGAGGGGTGCGGGCAATCCGAGGGGCCTGTGGGGGGACTTCTGAGGCCTGGAGGTGACCCTGAGGGACCCTAAGGACCCCTCAGGTCCCTGGCGTGAGGAGTTTGGGCAGCCCGAGGCCGGAGCAGCCCTGCCTCTGAGGAGGCCCGCAGTGCCCTCTGCACGTGCGCTGTCACAGGCTCTCCCGGCTCCCAGCCCAGCCATGCCCGGCACGGGGCTGGCGTGGTTTCCTGGGGAATCGAGGGACCAGCAGGTGCACATTCGGAGCCCTCGCCTTGCCGGCTGCGGCTGGGAGGGCACGTCCCTGCAGCCCTCGGGATGCACAGCAGCTTGACGTCCACACCCCGCACTCCGCCCGGAGCCTGTCAGGGCAGTCCCAGCCCCATGGCGTTGCCCCACAGCCTGGGCCCCGGGACTCACCGTGCCCTGGGCGCCGTGTCCCTCCCTAGGGCTCTGGAGCCTGAGGGCCTCTGGGGGTGGGAGGCTGGTTCTCTGAGGACCCCGGGGCCCCTGTGGACAGCGTGGGGTTTGAGTACTGGTGGCCGTTGGCCTGCTGGTTGAGGAAGCGGTTCTGAGTCCTGTCCTCGCTGTGCGTGCAGGTGATCGAGCTGGTGGACAAGGCGGACATCCACATCTCCACCAGCCAGGTGGCCGAAATCGTGGCCACGCTGGGCAAGGAGGAGAAGGTGGAGGAGAAGGAGAAGGCCAAGGAGAAGGCCGAGAAGAAGGCCGAGAAGGAGGCCGCCGAGGTGAAGGGCTAGTGCCGTCCAGCCCTTCCTGCTGGCAGGCGACCATTAGTGACACGTCTACTATTTTGTCTGGAATAAATCAGGAACTTCGTCATCACGTAATTTTAATTTTCATCATTCCACGGAGAGTCAGTCAGTCTGGAATCCCCACGCCCCTGTGTGGCCGCGCGGGCCTGTGCCCCCGTGGTGTCCAGGAGGAGGCCCGGCCCCTGGACCCTCGGCGCAGGAGGAGACACCGGTCTGCGGACTCGGACGCCTGAATGTCGGGGCCACGTCTGGAGCCGTGTGGCCGCGAGGGACGCCCGAGCGCTCTGTGGCCTTGCCCTCCCGCCTGGCGGACGGCGGTGCCTCCTGCGGGTGTCCGTCTGCACCAGCTCTTCTCGATGTACCTTGTCACCTCACCCTTCACCAGCCCGCAGTCTGCCGACTCGGGTGTGACCTAATGTAAAGTACTGCGTGGCCCGCTAACGAAGCCTTGCTGTCTGCGTATTTATTGTGCTCTTGTGGCTTTTAGGAAGTCTCCGAATTTGGGTTGTTAGCACCACGCCTGGGGTGATGCCACTGCGCCGCCCAGCAGTGGGCCAGGCCCTGGCACCCTGGAGCCTCCAGGTGCCGTCACTCCAATTCCTGGCCCAGCTCCTTCAGGAGACGCAGGCTGGTGGCTACTCTGGCCTGTGGTGGGCACCGGGGCTTGTGAAGGGTCCTGTGCAGCTGGCGCTCGTGCAGGTGGCTGCGTGGGCGGGCGGGCCCGGTGGCCTGTGCCTCGGCCTCACCCCTTCAGAGGCCAGGCTGCTCTGGGGGAACCCAAGCATAGAGGGCGTGGCCAGCTCCGGGACCGGGGACTCGGGACCGACAGCTTCTCGGCGCCTTGCCCTTTCTCCTGGGCGTGGCAGGGCCGGCACAACCGGGGATCCGCCTTTGTATCAGACCCGGGCTCAGGGCTATCCGTCCCTGTGAGCGCGCGCTCCGGGTGCTGGTGGTGCTGATGGGCTGTCTCAGTGTTCCCGGGCCTGGTTCCAGCTATGCCCGCCCCTGCCCCGGAGCGTGGCCGCTGCAGGGACGCGCTGTCCTTCGGTGAGCAGCACCGGGGGCCTTCCGCCGCGCCGGCTCCTCCGTCCTCGCTGCCTTGCCGGGCCCTCCTAGGTGTCGCAGCTTCAGGGAGAGCGTGCCCCGTGCAGGGCTCTGCTGCGCGGGGCGAGCTGCCAGCAGAGCCTCCGCTTGAGGCGGGCCTGCAGCCGGCCCCCTGACGCTTCGTGCTGCGTTCACTGTCCTGGGCTCACTCAGCTGAGACTGCGCCAGACGCAGGCAGAGCACGTGGTGGGCCCAGAAATGGGCGTCTCAACGACACGGTGGCCGAGGGGGTGCTGCTGCCCTGCCCTTGTGCTGCACCCCCCACGCCTGCTTGACGGTGAAACGGGCCACATGGGAGTCCCACGTCAGGACCTGTCGGCCCCGCGGGCCCTGTCACCGAGTTGGGCAGGTTCTCACCGCGGTCCGCCTGTGCGCTGGCTCTGCCCATGTGCCCGCGCGGGCCCCGGCCTCACATGTAATCACCTTTCTAGAAATGATGTTTTTATTAAAATGTCATGTCACCGTTCCTGTGACAGCTCGGAGGAGGACTCACAGGAAGATGTCTCGGTGGCTGCGGTGGCAGCGGAGTGGCCTGCTGCTGCTGTCCCGTTGCAGAGGGGACAGGCCCTCGCCCTCGGGGCCAGCCCTGGCTCGGGAGTCCCCGGTTGTGGGCAGAGTGCGCTGCCATCCCCCACACGCTACCCAGACTGTCCCTGTGCTGGGGACCAGACGCCAATCTGATGTAAGGACGGGACTGAATAAAGCATTGCCTTGGTGACCTGTGACCACTCAGTGATTCCTTTGTCCAGGTCGGTGGAGGCTCACTGCCTGACCAGCCCTCCCCCTTCGGACCTCCGGGGAAGCTCAAACCCGGATCACTCAGGACAGCACAGTTCCGTTCTGTAAGACCGAGGCCCCGGCTCGGGGCTTCCTGGAGGAGGTGGGTTCCTCTCACAGCCTGCCCCCAGGGCGGTGCGCGGGCCACTCCCTGCTGGAGAGCAGCCTGCCTGGGAAGGCTGCCCAGCGGGCACAGGTGGTCTCCCACCCTCCCAGCCCCTCAGTGGGTAGGGCCACCACCCCCTCAAGATGCCCAGCCTGTCTTGGGGGCCTCACCCCTGCACTGGTACCAGGCTCCTTGGGGGACCAAATGGGTTTCCTGCCTGAGGCTGCCCTCTCTTGAGACCTGCCATGGCCTCCCACCCTGCCCAGCCTCTGGGCCAGAGGTGCCCCCAGCTTCACCGGGTGCCCCAGCAGGTACCCAGGCCTTCCTGCTGTGGTCCTCAGCTGAGCCTGTGGCGGGCAGAGCTGGACCTGCGCTGGCACAGCGGGCGCCGGGGACACAGGGCCTGGGCTGGAGCCACGGCAAGCCAGGAGTGACTGCCGAGGGCGCAGTGGGGAGGAAAGGGCTCAGGTCCTGCCCTTCTTGGGGGGAAAGGGTCCCTGTGGAGCCCCAGGGCGGCTGGACCGTCCTGCCCTGCAGCAGGAGCCGGGGCAGGGCCAGGGCCTGGTCACGGCCAGGGGCCCGCATCCCAATCCCCACACCCACCGGACCAGCCTAGCAGGAAGGCCACTGACTGGGCCAGCAGAGGCTGCGGAGGTGGGGCCTGGTGGTGAGGGGCGGGGCCAGAGGAGCTGGGGCCGGCGGGCGGGACGGGCCTCGGAGGTGGAGCCCGGCGGTGGGGTGGGACCTGGTGGGCGGAGGCGGGGCCAGAGGAGCTGGGGCCGGTGGCTGGGGCGGGGCCTGGAGGAGGGGCGGGGCCGGAGGAGGAAGAGCTGGCCGGTGGGTGGGGCGGGCCCTGAGGAGGGGCGGGGCCTGGCGGGCGGGGCGGGCCCTGGGGGAGGGGCGGGCCCTGGCGGGCGGGGCGGGGCCAGAGGAGGAGGAGCTGGTCGGTGGGTGGGGCGGGCCCTGGGGAGGGGCGTGGCCTGGCGGGAGGGGCGGGGCCAGAGGAGGAGGAGCTGGCCGGTGGGTGGGGCGGGCCCTGGGGAGGGGCGTGGCCTGGCGGGCGGGGCGGGGCCAGAGGAGGAGGAGCTGGCCGGTGGGTGGGGCGGGCCCTGGGGGAGGGGCGGGGCCGGAGGAGGAGGAGCTGGCCGGTGGGTCAGTTGATGAAGGAGCCACCCGGGCCCGCCCGTTTGGGGTGCCGCTGGGGTCTCCATCCGGCGTCCCAGAGCCCCCACACCCGGCGGCGCGGCCCTGGTGTGCCCGGTGCGCGCGGGACCGAGCCGGGGAGCGAGCGGCGCGGCGCGGCCGCTAGAGGGCGCCCCCGGCCCGCTGTCCCGGCCTCGCTCCGCCGTGTCCGGGCGGGGCCCTGGGCGCTCACCCGGGGCTCCTGCGGGCCCGGGCCGAGGCGCCTCCCCAGGGCTCAGGGTTCGGGCCTCACCTGAACCTGACCCAGGACAGGAACTCAGCAGAGGGGCCGGGTTTCCCAGAACCAGAGCGAACGTTCACACGGCCAGTGCCTCCCCCCGCACCCCAGGACACAGGGCGGGAGGGCGGACACGGTGCTCCCAGGCGGGTGGGGGGCCTGGGGTGCCGTCCAGGACCTGAGGAAGTCTGCGTGCCCCCCACCCCGCCCCCTGCCTGTGGGCGCTGCCTCCTCCAGGAGCTGCCTCCTCCTTCCGAAGCGGCCCATCGCTGCCGCCTGGCGCTGTGTCCCCTCCTGCCGTCAGGTGTGGGGTGCGGGAGCGCAGGGGGCGCTTTGGGGGGACGGCAGCCCTGGTGAGTGTGGGGGGGGCAGGAAGCCAACCAGGAGCAGGAGTGGCCACCAGTGCCGTCTGGAGCCCCTTGGGGCCTCCTGGAAACCAGCGGACGGGCTCAATGCCGGGTTCGGCACGTAACCTGGGCTCCAGGACCTGGGCCTGCCCACCCCCGGGGCCTCCCTGTCCCTCTTGCAGACACGGACACCGGGCGTCTGCACTTCCTGCCATCGAGGACCCGAGACCCAGGCCCTGGAGACCCTCAGGACACGGGGACTGTCCTGCCCGCCCACCGCTGGGCACCGACGCCTCCCCCAGGCCGTGCCAGGACCCACCCGCCGAGCCCTGTGCTGCGGGTCCAGGGGTGTGCAGAGGTGGCCGTCCCCTGGGCCCTCCCCCAGCACGTGCTGTCCTGCAACAGTGGCCACCCCTCCCTCCCCCCTCCCCCCACCCCCTTCCCCCCTCCCTCCCCCCTCCCTCCCCCCTCCCTTCCCCCTACCCCTCCCTCTCCCTCCCCCTCCCCCCTCCCTCCCCCTCCCTCCCTCCTCCCCCCTCCCTCTCCCCTCCCCCCTTCCCCCCTTCCCCCTCCCTCCCTCCCCCTCCCCCACCCCTCCCCCCTCCTCCCCTCCCCCCTCCCTCCCCCTCTGGGGGCGGCGACAGGGCCGCCAGGCCGCACAGGGCAGGAGACAGACGGCAGGAGTGCAGCAGAGGCTGAACGGAATCTGTTTATTTCTGGGAAGTGCGTTGGCCAGTTGGGGGCAACACCTCGGGCGCCCGCAGGCAGGGGCCCGCTCGGGCTCGGGCGCCCGCAGGCAGGACGAAGTGACGCCGGAGGCTCCCTCCCAGGCCCTGGGAGGCAGCCGGCTAGAAGGCTAGAAGCGTCGCATAAGAAGTGTTAAATCTACAGCAAATACGTCTCGTAAAAACCAATAAATTATATAGATAGATACACATAAACCGTAACACCTAAGGACGTCTGCGCCGGGGCAGGGCCCCGAGAACCTGTGGGAAAACACCGGCCCGCTCAGAGCCTGCCGAGCATCTGCAGCAGCAAACCTCCGGATGCGCAGAGGCGGCGCCCGGCCTGAGGGCCGCCCGGCGGGTGCAGGCCGGGGGCGCCCCGGGCCTCCGCACAAACCTCAGCTGTTAATAAGTTAAGGCGAAGCCACCGCGAGGGGCGGCGAACACTACAGCGTTGGGGTGGGGAAGGGACGGGCCGGGGCCATAAATAGCTTTTCAGACAGGTGGGTCCAGGTACAATTTTTAAAACAAAACTGCGGCCGGGGAGCCCTCCACGCGGGCGCCGTGTGTGTCCCGCCCGCAGGGGCCTCCCACCCAGCCCCCGGGGCCCGTGCTGCCCGTGTCCCAGCTTCTTCCACGGGGACTATTGGCCTACACGCGTGTCACACACGTGTTAGAGGAATGCACTCGTCTCTGGAGTCGCCCTCTCGGATAGAAGTTAAAGGCTCCCGCCTTCGGTACCCGTAATCTCAGTCTCGGGGGACAGGGTGGGAGGTGGGGCCTGGGGGCGTGTGCTAACATCACCCCAGGCGCAAGGTGCCGGTGGGTGGGCTCCGCTCGGGGCCTGAGGGCCCAGGGGCGGGGAGCCCCGTACATTCTACATCCGCCCTCCTGGCACCGCCGGGTCAGCGGCCGGGGGGCACGGTACAGCAGGGCGGGCACCAGGGACCCTACACCAGGGCCCGGAGACTCACGCACACGCACACGCACACGCACACGCACACACAAGGTGTCTGTCCGTCCGCCCGTCGGTGCAGGTCTGGAGCCGGGGCCGACGGCACACCCAGAGCAGCATGGCGGGCCGGGGCCCTCACGGGGGGCTCGGCCGAGGGCGGGGCTCACGTCTGTGGGCCCCCGCTGCTGGGCGGGGCGGGGGGCAGGAGGTCGTGGGCGAACACGGAGTCATCCCCCGAGGAGCCGGAGCTGGGGGTGTCCTGGCCGCCCGGCGAGTACTGCTCGAAGGGCACCGACAGGTCCAGGTACTCCTGCGGGGGGGGGGGTGTGCGGTGTGGGCGTCGGGCACGGCGCCTCCCCCCTCCCCCCCCTCCCGGCCTCGGCGGGCCTCCCCCTCCCCCACCCCCCGAACTCGGCGGGCCTCCCCCCCCCCCGGCCTCGGCGGGCCTCCCCCTCCCCCCCTCCCCCCCGGGCCTCGGCGGGCCCCCCCCCCCCCCCGGCCTCGGCGGGCGGGCACTCACGTCGGTGGAGGTCACGGTGAGGATGCGGTCCAGGTCCTCCACCAGCTGCTTGAAGGTGGGCCTCTGGGAGGGCACCGCGTGCCAGCACTCCCGCATCACCATGTACCTGCGGGGCACGGGGTGAGGCTGCGGCCCCCGCCCGGCCGTGCCCGCCTCCTCCCACCGGCCCGGGAACAGACCGCCACCGGGACCCGCACACGGACGCCGGGACCCGCACACGGACACGGGGACCCGCACACGGACCGGGGACCCGCACACGGACACGGGGACCCGCACACGGACGCCGGGACCTGCACACGGACCGGGACCCGCACACGGACACGGGGACCCGCACACGGACGCCGGGACCCGCACACGGACCGGGACCCGCACACGGACACGGGGACCCGCACACGGACCGGGGACCCGCACACGGACACGGGGACCCGCACACGGGGACCCGCACACGGACACGGGGACCCGCACACGGACCGGGGACCCGCACACGGACACGGGGACCCGCACACGGACACGGGGACCCGCACACGGACGCCGGGACCCCCACACGGACACGGGGACCCTCACACGGACCGGGGACCCGCACACGGACACGGGGACCCGCACACGGACCGGGGACCCCCACACGGACCGGGGACCCGCACACGGGGACCCGCACACGGACACGGGGACCCGCACACGGACACGGGGACCCGCACACGGACACGGGGACCCGCACACGGGGACCCGCACACAGACACGGGGACCCGCACACGGACACGGGGACCCGCACACGGGGACCCGCACACAGACACGGGGACCCGCACACGGACACGGGGACCCGCACACGGACACGGGGACCCGCACACGGGGACCCGTACACGGACCGGGGACCCGCACACGGACACGGGGACCCGCACACGGACACGGGGACCCGCACACGGACGCCGGGACCCGCACATGGACCGGGACCCACACACGGACACGGGGACCCGCACACGGACCGGGGACCCACACACGGACGCCGGGACCCCCACACGGACACGGGGACCCGCACACGGACACGGGGACCCGCACACGGACACGGGGACCCGCACACGGACACGGGGACCCGCACACGGACCGGGGACCCGCACACGGACACGGGGACCCGCACACGGACCGGGGACCCCCACACGGACCGGGGACCCGCACACGGACACGGGGACCCGCACACGGGGACCCGCACACGGACACGGGGACCCGCACACGGACGCCGGGACCTTGCACACGGACACCGGGACCCCCACATGGACCGGGGACCCGCACACGGACGCCGGGACCCGCACACGGACACGGACACGCCGGGGCAGGGCACTCACAGCTCGTGCGTGCAGTTGGCCGGCTTGTCCATGCGGTGCCCCTCCTTCAGCAGCTTGAACAGCTCCTCCACGGGGACGCCGGGGTACGGCGAGCCCCCCAGCGTGAAGATCTCCCACAGCAGCACCCCGAAGGACCAGCTGGGGGGACACACACGGCTCCCACCGGCCCGCAGCCCGGACGGGCCGGCCGGCAGAGGTGGCGGTGCCCGAGCTGCCCCCCCCCCCCCCCGCTCCTGGCGCCCCGCCCGGCCGGCCCTCACAGCCCCCCGTGCGGCCACGTACACGTCGCTCTGGTGGGTGTAGACGCGGTCGAACAGGGCCTCGGGCGCCATCCACTTCACGGGCAGCCGGCCCTGCGGACAGAGGCGGCGTTGTTGCCTGGCGCCCCCCCCCCGCGGCCCCGAACCCGCACCGGGCGCAGCTCACGTTGGTGGTCTTCTTGTAGTAGTCCAGGTTGTGCACGTCGCGGGCCAGGCCGAAGTCCGCGATCTTCATCACGTTGTCCTCCGTCACCAGCACGTTGCGGGCCGCCAGGTCCCGGTGGATGCACTGGGGGCGGCGGAGGCCGGGCTGAGCACCCGCCAGCCGCCCTGAGCGCCCGGCCCCCCCCCCGGGCCCCGGCCCCTCACCTTCTGCGAGGCCAGGTACTCCATGCCCCGGGCCACCTGGTAGGCGCAGGACACCAGGTCCTTGCAGGTGAGCTGCTCCTCCGGCAGCTTGCAGGTGTCGAAGGAGTAGTCGGTGCCCGGGGGCCGCCGCGCCCGAAGGTACTCCCGCAGGTTCCCCTTGGCCGCGAACTCCACCAGCACGTACAGGGGCCCTGGCGGGCATGGGCGCCTCAGGGGGGGCCGCCGCCCTGTGCACCCCCGCCCTCAGGGCACCCCCCGCCCTGTGCACCCCCGCCCTCAGGGCACCCCCCGCCCTGTGCACCCCCGCCCTCAGGGCACCCCCGCCCTGTGCACCCCCGCCCTCAGGGCACCCCCCGCCCTGTGACCCTCTCCCGCCCCACGTGCATCCCCCGCCCTGCATGCACCCTCCCCCTTTGTGCACCCTCCTCCCTCTGGGCACCCACTGCCCTCTGTGCACCCTCCCCCCCTGCATGCACCCCCCGCCCTGTGACCCCGCCCCACCCCATGTGCACCCCCCCACCCTGCGTGCACCCTCCTGCTGTGTGCACCCACCGCCCTGCATGCACCCTCCCCCTGGTGTGCACCCACTGCCCTCTGTGCACCCTCCCCCCTGCATGCATCCACCGCCCTGTGCACCCTCCTGCTATGTGCACCCTCCTCCCTCTGGGCACCCACCGCCCTCTGTGCACCCTCCCTGCTGTGTGCACCCACCGCCGTGTGCACCCTCTCTCCTGCATGCACCCCCTTCCCTGTGACCCCACCCCGCCCCACGTGCACCCCCCCACCCTGCGTGCACCCTCCTGCTGCGTGCACCCACCGCCCTGTGCACCCTCCCCCTGGTGTGCACCCTCCCCTTCTGTGCACCCTCCTCCCTCTGGGCGCCCACTGCCCTCTGTGCACCCACCGCCCTGCATGCACCCTCCCCCTGGTGTGCACCCTCCCGCTATGTGCACCCTCCTCCCTCTGGGTGCCCACTGCCCTGTGCACCCTCCCTGCTGTGTGCACCCACCGCCCTGCATGCACCCTCCCCCTGGTGTGCACCCACCGCCCTCTGTGCACCCTCCCTGCTGTGTGCACCCACCGCCCTGCGTGCAGGCGCCCAAGAGGTTGATGATGTTCTTGTGCTTCCCGATCATCTTCATCATCTCCATCTCCGACACCAGGTCCGAGAGGTCCTTGTCAGTGGCGTCATCTGTGCAGAGACGGAGGCCCGTTTGACAGGCTCCCTGCACCCTCCCCCCCCTCTGGCTCCCTGCACCCACACCCCCCCCCCGCTCCCTGCACCCCCCCCCCGCTCCCTGTGCCCCCCCCTCACCTTTCAGCATCTTCACGGCCACCGTGACGGGCTTGGTGGCCCGGTCCTTGTCGATGCCGATGGCCTCCGCCATGACCACTTGCCCGAAGCAGCCCTCGCCGAGGGGCTTGCCCAGGGTCAGCCTGCGGCAGGGGCAGAGGCAGTGAGGCCCAGGCAGCCTCAGAGCGGAGCCCCGCCCCTCCGGCCGCACGCCCATCCCCTCGGCTCCTACCGGTCACCCCTGAGCCCAGCCGGGCCTCCGCCCGGCAGCCCCCCGGCGGGGCCCGCCCAGCCCTGCCCACACTGACCGGGCCCGGGGCAGCTCCCACTTGGGGTCGGCGGGCAGCTCCAGCTCGGATACGTTGGCCAGCGCGGGGCCCTCGCCCGAGGACAGCCGGGCGATGCGCACGAGGGGCGTGTTGGAGTTCATGGACGAGTTCGACTCCAGGGACACCTGCTTGGGTGGGGGCAGGTTGGCGCCGCGGGGCCGTGGGGGGATGGGGTGCACCCGGGGCCTCCCACACCGAGGGGTCCCCGGGGACGGAGCCGGGCGGGCGGGCGCCTCCCTCGTTACCTGGCGCTTGAGTGGGAAGCGGGAGACCTTGTGCACGGCGGGCGCCAGGCCCTTCTTGGGGGGGCTGCGCAGGCGGCAGAGCGTCATGGCGGCCACCACCAGCACGAAGAGCAGGAAGCCCACGCCGTAGCTGAGCACGCCCGCGTACACGCTGCCCGCCTCGCCGGCCTCCGCCGGCTCCTCCTCGGCTGCGGAGACACGGGCGTTGGGGCCGCGGCTGGGGCCGGGGTCGGGGCGGCGCGGCCCGGCGAGGGGGGCCCGGGTCAGAGGCGCCGAGAGGAGGAGCCCAAGCGGAGCCACAGCACCCACGCCCGCCACCGGGGAGATGCCAGAGCCGCCGCGGGCCCTGCGGGCCGGACCGACTCCTTGTTTTTATTTCCATTGGTTTCCGAGAGGGAGGGAGAGGGAGAGCGGGAAACATCCATGACGACAGAGCATCATGGACCGGCCGCCTCCTGCACGCGCCTCACTAGGGACGGAGCCCACAGCGGGGCCTGTGCCCTGACGGGGAGTCAAACCCAGAACCTTCTATCCACGGAGCCACGCCGGACGGGAGCCCCGGGCCCCGGCGGTCCCTGGCGGCTTTGGCGTGTCCCGAGCCAGCGCCCAAAAGGTGCAGCGGCAGCAGCAGGAGCGGTACCTGGCAGCACCACCAGCCACGCAGAGTGATGGGAAAACCCGATAGAATTGCCCGCCAGACACGTGTACTCCCCCGCGTCCTCATAGGTGACATTGCGCAAGGACAGCACCTCTAGCTCCTTGTCGGTGGTGTTAGCGCCTGCCGTCTAGGAGAGAGAACAGAGCTAGGCCCGCCGCAGCCCGCATGAGCCAGCGTCCATGCGACGTCCCACCGGCTGCAAAGGAAACGCGCCACCACCACGGCCACGACCACGGCCACCGCCACGGCCACCGAACGTGGCCACGGCCACGGCCGCCACCAACACACCAAGGCCACGGCCACAGACGAGGCCACGGCCACGGCCGCCGAGGGTCCTCCGCCGCCTGCGTCCGCACGGAGCCCGAAGCCAGTCCCTTCACCGGCGAGTCCTCTGTCCCAGGTGAGCGCCAGGCGTGTGGCCAGCAGCGTGCAGGGTTAGCGTGGAAGCTGGGCGGGGGGTGGTAGGGCAGACAGGGGGCAGAGGGGCAGGCAGACCAACAGGAAGTGAGCAGGCAGCGGGCCGGGGCCGGGGCGATGGGAGGAAAGCAGGTGCACAGACAGAGGGCACGGCCCCTGCCAGGCTGAGGGCCTCTGGGGCAGACGGGCGCAGGCAGGGGCCGCGGGCTGGGGTCCAGGCAGGCAGGCAGGCAGGCGGCGTCACAGGAAGGCAGAGGCGCCAGCTTGCAGCGTGAGGCTGTGCGGCGGGTGGCGGGCGCGAGCAGGACGGCTGCGGGCGCGGGCCAGCGTCGGTGCTGGAGCTCGGCGTGCCAGGCAGCGTGGGACAGAGAAGTTACCTGCTCGGGGCCCGTGCACGCGCAGCCAAAAGGCCTTCTCAGACACGCCTATGAAATTGGTGGCTCGACAGAGGTACTCGCCCCCGTCGCGCGCGGACACATTGGCCAGGCGGAGGCGCGAGTCAGCCTCCGCAGTCTCACTGGTCCAGGACTGCGGGGAAAGAGAGCCGGCTCAGCGTGGCCCGGCTCAGCGTGCCCCGGCTCAGCGTGGCCCGGCGGACAGAGCCGGCTCAGCGTGCCCCGGCGGACAGAGCCGGCTCAGCGTGCACCGGGGGGGGGGACAGAGCCGGCTCAGCGTGCCCCGGCTCAGCGTGGCCCGGCGGACAGAGCCGGCTCAGCGTGCCCCGGCTCAGCGTGTCCCGGCTCAGCGTGTCCCGGCGGACAGAGCCGGCTCAGCGTGCCGGGGGGGGGGGGGGGGGGGGAGTGGCGGACGGGGCGGAGCAGGCCAGGAGGGCTGCCTGGAGGCGGCGTGCAGGCCCCTCGTGGCAGTCGACGGCGGTTCCACAGGGAGCGCCTTCCATGCATCCGCCCTCCCCAGCACGGAGCACGGGCGGGCCTGGCAGGCTCCGGAGAGGCCCTGGGGGGGTGCTCAGCCCCCCACCCCACCCGCAGCCCCGGAGCCCGGCCGGCCGGCCGTGGTGACGCCAGACAGCTCACATGCTGACCAGGCTGCAGACGCCAAGGCGGGGCCAGCATCCTCAGCCTGAGCCGTCCCAGCCCCTCCCTCCGGCCGGTCTCGTCTCCGAAACAGATGTTTCTCTTTGGGCTGCGAGTGTCGCAAGCACCGAGCCGGGTGGCCCGGCAGAACCCATGGAGGCCAGGCGCCCGGGCCCCGGGAGGCCGGCTGGGGGGCGCGCTGACCGCGCACAAACAACGAGGCCCCTCGCCCCGGCTCAGGGGCACCCCTGGCCTGCCGGGTGCGGGCGCCTCGGCCGCCCGGCCGGGGCTGAGCCACACGGAGGCACCCGAAGCCGGACGGAGCCGCAGGGGCAGCTGGCCTCGGGCCTCCGCGGAGCCCGCAGCCGCCCGCCCCCGCCCGCCCCGCGGCGCCCACCTTGAGCACGGTGACGTAGGGCGTGCCGTCCGGCCCCACTTTGCTGCCGTTGACCTCCACGTGCTTGAGCCACTGGATGTGGGGCTGCGCGTCGCTGTACACCTTGCAGTGGAACTCCACGTCGCTGCCCACCACGGCCGTCTGGTTGGCCGGCAGCCCCGCCTGCAGGATGGGCCGGTGCGGGGAGCGCTCTGCGGGCGGACGGACACAGACGGGGGCTCAGGGACCGCCCGGCCGGCTCCTGACCTCCTGGGCCCCGACCACTGGGCCCCTGACCGCCCGGCCTCACCCAGCACGTCCAGCGTGTAGGTCTGCCGGATGCTGCCCAGCCGGTTCTGCACCACACACGTGTAGTTGCCGCGGTCCGAGGGCACCACGCTCTCCATGACCAGGCTCCACTGCTGGTGCCGCAGCTGCAGGCACACGGGTGAACAGACGGGCGGTGAACAGACGGGGTGAGGGGGCAACAGGGGTGAACAGACAGACACCGGGGGAGCGGGCAGACGGGGGAGCGGGCAGACACCGGGGGAGTGGGCAGACGGGGGAGCGGGCAGACGGGGGAGCGGGCAGACGGGGGAGCGGGCAGACGGGGGGGGGGAGCGGGCAGACGGGGGGAGCGGGCAGACGGGGTGAAAAGACAGATGGGGGGGGGAGCGGGCAGACGGGGGAGCGGGCAGACGGGGGAGCGGGCAGACGGGGGAGCGGGCAGACACCGGGGGAGTGGGCAGACGGGGGAGCGGGCAGACGGGGGAGCGGGCAGACGGGGGAGCGGGCAGACGGGGGGGGGAGCGGGCAGACGGGGGGAGTGGGCAGATGGGGGGAGCGGACAGACGGGGGGAGCGGGCAGACGGGGTGAAAAGACAGATGGGGGGGGGGAGCGGGCAGACGGGGGAGCGGGCAGACGGGGGAGCGGGCAGACGGGGGAGCGGGCAGACGGGGGAGCGGGCAGATGGGGGGAGCAGACAGACGGGGGGGGAGCGGGCAGACGAGGGAGCAGGCAGACGGGGGAGCGGGCAGACGGGGGAGCGGGCAGATGGGGGGAGCGGGCAGACGGGGGGGGGAGCGGGCAGATGGGGGAGCGGGCAGATGGGGGGAGCGAGCAGACGGGGGGAGCAGACAGACGGGGGGGAGTGGGCAGACGGGGGGAGTGGGCAGATGGGGGGAGCGGACAGATGGGGGGAGCGGGCAGACGGGGGGGGGGAGCGGGCAGACGGGGGGGGGAGCGGGCAGACGGGGGAGCGGGCAGACGGGGGGAGCGGGCAGACGGGGGGAGTGGGCAGACGGGGGGGAGCGGGCACTGGGGAGGCCTGGGGTCCCACCTTGATGCCCCCGATGCGGTGTTCGCCCCGGAACTCCTTGCCGTTCTTCAGCCAGGAGATGGTGGGAGTGGGGTTGCCGGCCGCCGGGCAGCGGAAGCGCACGGTGTTGGCGGCGGGCACGGCCAGCAGCTTCTTCTCCATCCGCTCGGGCCGCGTCCAGTACGGGGCCCCTGCTGGGGGGGCACGCGGGGCCTGTGACCGGCGTGGGGGACCCCCTCCCTGTGCGCCCCCCCCTGGGCGCCCCCCCAGCGCCCCCCTTCCCGGGCACCCCCTCCCTGAGCGCCCCCTCCCTGGGCGCCCCCCCGTGCGCCCCCTCCCTGGGCGCCCCCCCTAGTGCCCCCCTTCCCGGGCGCCCCCCCCCCGAGCGCCCCCTCCCTGAGCGCCACTGAGCCAAGCCGGCCAGGACCCCAAGGTGCTTTCTGACAGGGGAGGTCTCCGAGGGGAGCCCCCCACCCAGCTGGCAGGGGCACAGCGCCCAGAACCAGAAGCCTGGAGGCACTGGGTGCTGCTGAGCTCACCAGCCGAGCCGCCTCTACAGCAGGCGCTCAGCCTGCGGGCAGCGGGAGGGACAGGAGGACAGACAGAGGGAGGGACAGAGCAGGATGGACAGAGGGACAGACAGCAGGAGGGACAGACAGAGGGAGGGACAGACAGCGGGAGGGACAGACAGAAGGAGGGGCAGGAGGAGGAACAGACAGCGGGAGGAACAGCGGGAGGGACAGGAGGAGGGACAGAGGGAGGGACAGACAGAGGGAGGGACAGGAGGAGGGACAGACAGCAGGAGGGACAGGGTGACAAGAGGCTTCGCCCACTCCCTCCCCGCCAGCCTGACTGGTTTTTCTCCTTCGCTGGCAGGTGGGGGAGCCTCCTGAGCCCTCCTGCCGTTTGGAGGCCGGCCCGGCGGGCGGGCGGGCGGGCTGGAGGGCGTCCCCAGGGGGAGGCGCCTTCCCCACAAGCCCCCCTCCAAGCCCCCATGACCGGGCAGCCACCCCACAGAGGGCTGAGGCCAGGGGGGAAGAGGAGCGTCTGGGTCCAGGGTCCGAGGCCGGGGGCAGTGGTGTGACCACCTCTGGAGGGCGGCCCTGCGCGACCCTCAGCGTCCAGGGCGGCCGGGACGGGGTGGGGGCCCGGGAGCGTGGGGCTGGGAGAGGGCAGGGCCGCCTCGGGGGTCACCAGGGCCGCCTGGATCTCAGACCCCCAGGCTCCGCTCGGGTCCTCTCCACCTTGTCCGCTGGACCCCCAGGGCCAGCCCCTTCACGCTGGGCACAGCCGCCTGCCCCGTCCAGGCCAGCATCAGGACGCACACCCACAGCCACCAGGGGGCGCCGCAGCACCCCTTCCCAGGAAAGGTGCCGCCCTGGCCACCGTCCCCTCTGCACGGACTGTTTGCCCCCACCCCCCACCCTCAGCCCTGGCCCCGCTGCCACTGAACTCCACCCTGGTACCCTACCACCCAGGCAGGCCCTCCACAGGCCAACCCCCAGCCCAGCCCCTCGTCTGCAACACCCGCACCCCCACGCCCGCTGCCCCCCCCCCCAGCTCAGGGCCACCCCACACCGAGGGGACCCGCTCGTAACCGAAACGGGGTGCCCAGGCCGTGGTCTCTCACAGCGGGGGCGCCAGCGGCACCATCCCTGAGGGGGCGGGGCGGGGCCTGGCTCACCTGTGTCCTCTGCCTCGTCCTCCCCATCTTCATCGTCTCCCGAGGACGGGGCATCTGCAGGGCCGGGGAGAGGGCCATGGAGGGGCCGTGCCCACCCCACCCAGGCACCCTCCTCTCTGACCTGTCCCCCGCACCCACCTGCCAGCCGGCACCCACCTGTCACCCGCACGCTGAAGCGGCACAGCTCGCGCTGGGTGGGCTGCTGCCGGCAGCTGTAGGCCCCGGCGTCCTCCTGGGAGGCGTTGAGCACCTGCAGCCGCCGCGGCCCCAGCAGCAGGCGGTCCGAGGGCACCAGCCCCGCCCCGTCCTTGGCCCAGACGGTGGGCCCCGTGGGGGCGCCCTCGGGCGGGCGGCAGCTCAGCTCCACGGTGTCCCCACTGCCGAACACCAGCTGCTCCTGCTGGGGCGGCTCCGGCCCCGGGGCCTCTGGGGGGACGGGACCAGGCGGTGAGGACAAGGCCCGGCTCAGGCCCGGAGGCCCGGCCTCAGCGGGCTCAGGGCCCGGGCGGTGGGGTCCCGCAAACCACCGAGGACGGCCGGCCGGCAGGCCCCGTGCAGCCTCGCCCGCGGGCCGGGCCGGGACCGTGGCCACGGGCACGGCGCTCGGCTCCCGGCTCGCAGGCTGCCCCAGGGCCGACAGCCCTCCGCAGCCTCCGCACCACGGACCTTCCTCCGAGTCCTGCCGGCCATTCAGGATCGCAGAACCCATTCTGCTCGGGTGAAGGGAGTGGGGCCCCAGTTCACAGGCGACAGCACAGGCTGGGGAGAGGCTGTCCAGGGGGGCCGGGCCGGCCTGGCTCAGGCAGAGTGTCGGCCGAGGAACCAGGAGCTCAGGGTTCGAATCCCGGCCAGGACCCAGGCCTGGGTTTCAGGCTCCATCCCCAGTGGGGGGCGTGCAGGAGGCAGCTGATCAACGATGCTCTCTCATTATTGATGTTTCTCTCTCTCCCCTTCCTCTCTGAAATCAATAAAAATACATATTTTTAAAAACATCACAGGAGGCGGCCACCTCAGCACTCCAGCGGCTGCCCAGCTCCCCGGAGGCCAGCGAGGCCGGAGGCCCGAGGACACGCCGCCGGTTGGGCTGACCACCACCCGGCCTCCCTGCCAGGCCAGACAATGCCCGGCGAGGCGGCAGCCGGGCTGCGGGCCCAGGACGGCCGGGTGGTCCGGCCGCACAGGCCCCCGCCCCGCCCGCCGGTCCGAGCGCCTTGTCATTCTGCCGACGCGTGGCCTAGATTCGAGGCCCAGCTGCCCCTCTGCGGCCGGCTCCCTGGACAGGCCGGCCTGGCCCCACCGTGGCGGCCTCCCAGGCCGTGCCCGCGGGAAGGTGTGCGGAAGCGTCTGAGTCCGCGTCCGTGGGGACCTCGTGGTGCAGCCCCCAGCCTGGCCGCTGTGTCCTGTGGGGACCGCCCAGGGCCGGGAGCCGGCGGAGGCCCAGAATGGGCCGGGGCAGCCGCAGCCAGGCCCCGGCCAAGGGCAACAGCACTGGTTCCGGTGTGGCCTGGGCAGGGCGGCATCGGCACAAGGGCTGGCTCCAACCGAGTCCAGCCGGGGCCGGAGGGACCGAGCGCCCCAGGCAGACACGCCCGGCAGCCATCTGCAGAGGTGGCTGATGGGTGAGGGGTGAGGGGCTGACCCCTGACCTGCCCGCCACTCTGCTCAGCTGGGTGCCTGCATAGGCCAGAGCCCCCCAGACCAGGCCAGTCTCCACCCCTGCAGACCCAACGCAGCGGGCCCACTCAGAGCATTGGGGGACCCAGAGAGCCATGGGGGACCCCACTCAGAGCCATGGGGGACCCCACTCAGAGCCATGGGAGACCCAGAGAGCCATGGGGGACCCAGAGAGCCATGGGGGACCCCACTCAGAGCCATGGGGGACCCCACTCAGAGCCATGGGGGACCCCACTCAGAGCCATGGGAGACCCAGAGAGCCATTGGGGACCCAGAGAGCCATGGGGGACCCCACTCAGAGCCATGGGAGACCCCACTCAGAGCATTGGGGGACCCCACTCAGAGCATTGGGGGACCCCACGGAAAGCCATTGGGGACCCCAGGAAGAGCCATGGAGGACCCGCAGAGAGCCATGGGGGACCCCACGGAAAGCCATGGGGGACCCCACGGAAAGCCATTGGGGACCCCACGGAAAGCCATGGGGGACCCCACGGAAAGCCATGGGGGACCCCACGGAAAGCCATTGGGGACCCCACGGAAAGCCATGGGGGACCCCAGAGAGCCATGGGGGACCCCACGGAAAGCCATGGGGGACCCCAGAGAGCCATGGGGGACCCCACAGAAAGCCATGGGGGACCCCACGGAAAGCTATGGGGGACCCCAGAGAGCCATGGGGGACCCCACGGAAAGCCATTGGGGACCCCACGGAAAGCCATGGGGGACCCCAGAGAGCCATGGGGGACCCCACGGAAAGCCATGGGGGACCCCAGAGAGCCATGGGGGACCCCACGGAAAGCCATGGGGGACCCCAGAGAGCCATGGGGGGCCCCACGGAAAGCCATGGGGGACCCCAGAGAGCCATGGGGGACCCCACGGAAAGCCATGGGGGACCCCACAGAAAGCCATGGGGGACCCCAGAGAGCCATGGGGGACCCCACGGAAAGCTATGGGGGACCCCAGAGAGCCATGGGGGACCCCACGGAAAGCCATGGGGGACCCCAGAGAGCCATGGGGGACCCCACGGAAAGCCATGGGGGACCCCAGAGAGCCATGGGGGACCCCACGGAAAGCCATGGGGGACCCCAGAGAGCCATGGGGGACCCCACGGAAAGCCATGGGGGACCCCAGAGAGCCATGGGGGACCCCACGGAAAGCCATGGACCCCGGAGAGCCATGGGGGACCCCAGAGAGCCATGGGGGACCCCAGAGAGCCATGGGGGACCCCACGGAAAGCCATGGACCCCGGAGAGCCACAGGGTGGACACAGCATCCAGCTCGGACCGCAGGCAGGCGCTCAGAGACAGAGCCGGTGTGGAGTGTGGAAGCTGCCACTCCGCGCACCAGGGACAGGCTTTGTTTTTAAAACATATATATCTTCATTGATCTCGGGGACGAAGGGGAGACAGAGCACCCGTAGCACCCGTGATGAGAGAATCAGGGATCGGCTGCCTCCGGCGCGCCCCCCTCGGGGGACGGAGCCCGCAGCCCAGGCTGGTGCCCGAACAGGGGCAGGCACTGCGGAGGGACCCTGGCCCCGGGACAGCTCTGGCCGCCCCTCCCCGGAAACCTGGAAAGTTTCATAACCAAGTCAGGGGGCTGGGGGGCTGGGGGGCTGGGCGGGCTAATGAGGGCTTAGGGATTATGGGCCCTAATCCTCCTACAACCCCTCCATTATCAGTCTCCAGGGGCAGGTGAGGAGGGGGGGGGGAGCGGGAGCCCGGGCAGGGCAGGGCTCAGGGTCAGGAAGCACCGCCCCCCATTCCAGCTTTCACTTGTGAACCACGCAGGCCGGTGTGGCCCGTGGGCAGGCGGGTCCCACCTCCTCCAGGAGAGCCCCTTCCGTTGAGAGACGGGGTCAGTGGCCAACACCGGGCCTTACAAGCTCAGGGGGACGGGCCGAGACCAAAGCCACCCACTGGGTGCCTGCAAGGACGCGCCGAACTGGCCACAGCAGCGTGGCGGTCGGGCCTGGCGGGCCGCGTCCCAGGCCTGCCGTTCCGGACGGGGGTCAGACTTCACCTCTGCAGGGGCCTGAGCCCTGCACTCGGATAACACGCCTCGGACAGCGACCTGCCTGACCCTCCGGGGTGCACGGAAACCACGTTATCCGGCGGCCGCAGCCGCACCATCGCTCCGTCGGGAAGGCCACCCCCGCGCCCGGCGACCTCGGGGATAAACCAGGCTGCCAGCCTCCTCTCAGCCCCGGCCTTCTCAGGGCACAGCCCCCGGGGGCCGAGGCGGAGGGAGGGGGCCTGGGCTCGGGCCGGGTTAATGAACCACCAGCGGCCGCGGAGGCTCAAAGTCCAGCCGCTGGGACGGAGGAGGTGGGAGAGGCAGCAGCCTGGCCTCCCTCCCGGGGAATGCTCAGCACAGGGGCCCCCGGCCGGCAGGCCAGCCCAGGGGCGCCTCCTGCTGCCCACCCTCTTCCCGGAGGGGGACCCCGCCCCCGGGAGAGCAGGGCCCCCTGGGAAGCAGGGGCTGCTGCTGGGGCTGGGCGGCCAGCGCACACACAGCCCGCTGTCCCTGACCCCGGCCAGCTGGCTCCTGGCTCACGTCCCGGGGGAGGGCCAGCGGGACCTCTGGAAATTTCACGGGAACTTTGTATTTTTCCTGCCCGGCCCACCTCTTGGAGGAACCGGATTAAGTTTATTGACCTATCCACTCACTACCTGTTCCTCCAGCCCCGCGGGGCGGGGCGGGGAGGACGCTCAGAGGCGGCCAGGCTCCTTCCCGGCCTCGGCTTGGGGCCCTCCTGTCCGTCCGGCCGCCGCCCGCCTCCTGCGGTGGAAGGGGCGCCCAGGCCCGGTCTCCGGAGGGCAGGGCCCGGCCGGTCGCCGCCCCCTCGCTGACATGGGGAGTAATATCTTTATCTGAATGCCGATGGGAATGCTAATGGGGTCCGCCGGCCGCGCCCCGGGAAGCGGGCGCCGAAAGCGCGCGCTGACCTCGCGGCCCCTGTCACGCCGGAGTGACACGCCATTCAGCGGCCGTTCATTCATAAAATGACATTGTTCGGCGGCCGGGGGCGCGGGCCGGCCGCCATCTGCCCGCCCGGCCCCGCCCGGCCGCTCGCACCTCCCGCCGGCCTGCGCCTGCGGCCGCCGGGCACAAAGGAGCGGCTGTTCGCGCCCGCGGGCGGGGCTGAGCTCACCGGGGCCGCCGTCCGCGCCCGGCGGGGCAGGGCCCGCAGCCCGTCCCGCCCGCGCCCCGAGGGGACGGTCCCCCGCGGGCTCCCCGGGGCGGCATCCCGCACCGGGCCGGGCGCACAGACCCGCCGCCGCCGCTGCTCCGCCCGCGGCCGGGCCTCCCGGGACCCCGACGTCCCGGACCCTGACCGCCGGCGGGTCCGCGGCCACCCGCCCCGGGCGCGGCTGGCGTGCGGTGCGCCCGCGGGGGCAGACCCCGTCCCCACCGGCCCCGCTCCTCTCCTCCCGGAGCGCCCGCTGCCGGACTGGCCCTGGCGGGAGCCGGGCTGGGAGCGGGGAGCCGCACCGACAGCGGAAACCCCGGCCCGCAGCCCGGAGGCAGCCGGCCCCCCGACGGCGCGCGGGGCGGGGCGGACCCCACGGCCAGCCGCGGCGCCGGAGGCCAGTCCCCGCGCCCTCGCACCCGCGCCCCGTGCCGCCCGGCCCCGCCGCCGCTTACCTGCCACTCTCCGCGCGACGCGCCGCTCCGCGCCCGGGGGCCCCGCGGCGCCGGCCACCACGGCGGCCGCGCAGAGCGCCAGCGCCCAGGCCGGGGCGCCCATGGCGGCGGGGGCCCTAGGTGCGCGCGGGCTGGCCGCCCATGTCCGTCCGTCCGTCCGTGCGTCCGCTCCGCTCCGCGGCGGGAGGCGCCGCTCGCGCGGGGTCTGCGGGAGGCGGCGGCGGTGACTCGGGGGCCGGGCGCGCCGGGGGGCGGCGGCGGGGGCCGGCCCCGCGCCCGGTCCCGGGACCCCGGCCGCCCCGCCCGCGCCGCCGCCCAGCGCTCCGGGCCGCCTGGCGCCGCCGCCGCCCGCCGGGCCCTCCCTCCGCCCCTTCCCTCCCCGGCGGCCGCTGCGCCCTCCCAGGCGGCGGCGGCAAACTTTCCGGAGCGGGAAGCCCGCGCCGCCGGCCGCCCGGAGCGCTCCGCCCGGCCCGCCGCCCGCCGCCCGCCGCGCCCGCCACCGACCTGCGCCCGCTGCGGAGCCCCTTCCCCCGCCGCGCCCCTCGCTCCCTCCCGCGCCGGCCGGTGCGTGTCCCCGGCGACCAGGACGGGACGCGGCGCCGCTGCCTCCGCCGCCGCCACCGCGCACTGAGCCCGGCCGGCGGCAGCCAGAGGGCCGGCCCGCGCCCGCCCCGCCCCGCCCCGCCAGCCCCGCCCGCCCGCCGCGATCCGGCGGCCCCTCCCTCCCCTGGGGCGGCCGGGCCGGGGCGGGGCGGGCGCTCCTGCCCGCCGAGGGGATTAGCGGGGGTGAGGCCCGCGGGGGCGCCGGGCGGTCTCGGAGGGCGTGGGAGCCCAGGGGAGGCGAGGGGGGTCCCGGCCCCCCGCCGGGCGCGCAGGGAGGCCCAGCGCAGACCTGGATGGCCCGCGCGCACCGGCATCTCCCGCCGCTCAGGGGGTCCCGTGGTGAAGCGGGTCCGAGAGGCTGCAAAGCCAAGGAGCTGCTCCCGCTGAGCCCCGAGGTGTGCGCAGCTCCCCTCGGTGCGGCGTGGAGGGGCGGGGTGCCCCGAGCAAAGGCCGGTGCAGGGCCGCTCCGCCTGTTTGCATGTCTGCAGCTGCGCTGCCCCAGAGGCCGGGTCATTCCCCTGCTCCCCAGGAGGCATCAGATGGAGGCCAGGGGCTGAGGAAGCACCCGGGAGCCAGGGGCAGAGCCTGAGGTGTGCCCGCTGGGCAGGACCCCAGGGGCCGGCTCCTGTGCCACCTTCACAGGGAGAGGCCCTTCGCCCACCTTCAGGCCCGCGCAGGATGGTCAGCGCCCGCAGGAGCCAGAGAGGGGCCCCCTGGGCGTGGCTCTGGGACTCAGTTTGCTCACCTGAAAAATGGGCATGAGCACCCTCTGTGACAGGCTGCTTGGGCTAAGCACGGCCCCCAGCCTCTGAGGCCAGACTTGGAGGTACAGGAGGGCCCAGCCCAGGGAGCCCTCTAGCCCGCCCACAGGCAAGCACCTCTGCCCATCCGCCACCCCATCCCCTGCCCTGCCCAGGCCCGCGTCTCCCAGACAGGCCGGGGCCCGCTGAGCCCCAGTCTCAGCCCAGGCCACCCACCGGGTCCTCCCAGGATGCAGCCCAGGGCCCGGGACACACTGCCCCAATCTGTCAATCAGTCACTAATCAGCTGCAGGGTGGGTGTGGGGGGCCGGCTCCGTTGGCCTGAACCCCTGCTTTCCTTTAGATGAAGTCGGTAGGCCGGCCGGAGTCAGAGGGGGGGCGAGGAGGGGACCAGTCAGCCACGGCTGGCCTCCCAGGGGACCCTCCTGAGGCCCCAGGGCTCTCCGTGTCCCAGTCGGTGCCCTCCCTGCCCCGGGGGAGCATCCTTCCTGCCTCCGGCACTGAGCCTGGGCCGGTGTTGGTTCTGAGGGCCCAAGTGGCTGCTAAGTCCCCCACCGCCGTCCTGTCCCCACCAGCCACAGCATAGGAAGCGCCCACTGCCTCTTGCCCCCCGGCTGCTGTGAGGGTTTGGCCAGCAGGCAGGGCCCGGCACACCTGCCTCCTGCCTCTCCCAGGCCGGCAGGGAGGCGAGCAGACCCGGCCGACCCGCACCTGCAGCCCCCGCCCACCCCCGGGGGCTGGGACCGGGCTCCGGCTCCTGCCTCCCAGCCTCGGGGCCCCGGCGTCCGCGCTGCGTCTGCCCCGCTCCAGCCCTGGTCACAGGCCTCCCATGGTGGACAGGACACGGTCATCGGTGCCGGGCCCACCGTGACCTCCCCAGGACACCCCTCGCCTCCAGAGCCGCACCTGCAAAGACCCTTCTCCCAAGGAGCGCACAGGGCGGGGGCGGGGGCAGGACCTGGACGGCCCCTCTGCCTGGTCCTCGGGGGACGCCCCTCCAGGGCACTGTCTGGTGGCGTTCAGGTCAGAGGTCAGGGCCTCTGGGGGCCGGGCTGACCCAGCCAGATTGCTGCCAGAGGTCTGAGGGTCCTGCGAGGCCAGATGAGGAGCCCGGCGTGGCCCGGGAGGGCTGCGGGAGGTGCGGTCAGAGGAGACGAGGGCGGTGTGTCCCCAGGCCTTCCTCCTGGGCCGGCCAGGCCCTGCTCACCACCACCTCTGTCACGTCCGACACTCCGTGACGCTTCCCGTACACCAGGCACAGCAGCCTGACTGCCATAGCCCCCGGGGTGACTGCTCCAGGACCCTGTGCGACCTCCACGGCACAGGCCGAGCGGGGGAGCCAGGCGGGAACAGAGCACCCTCAGGACTCACCCCCCGCACGCCCACCCGTCTCCCAAGGCCCAGACCCACGGGTCTCCGGGTGAAGGTGAGGGTGGGCGGGCGGCCCGGCGGGTGACTCAGGGCCGCGGCTTGCTGGGGCCTGTGCCGAGGCCGTGAGCTCCGTAGGGCCTTGTGGGAGGGGCGTGGGGAGCGGGCGCCGGGGAGCAGGGCCTGCAATCGCCCGCCTCTCTCCCCGCACCGGGCCAGGCTGATGTTGGGACGTGGCGGTGAGGGGCGTGCAGCCAGGGCCCCTCCCGATGTGGCCGGAACCACCCCCGCGTGCCATCCGCAGCGTCCTGGCAGGCCCCGAGGCCCCGTGCCCGTCGTGCCCGCCAGGCCCATGCCAGGCCCTGCTCGCGCCCCGGAGTTGTGCCCTCGGCCCAGGCTGGACCCGCCCCGGCAGCTCACCGGCGGCCGGCCCTCACCCCTGTTCCGGGAGCCGCGGGGGCCCCGTGTGCAGCGGGCACGGGGGGCCCCGGGACTGGAACCCCCTGAGCTGGGCCGAGGACGGCCACGGCTGTGGCCGACGCTAGGCGATGCCTGCCTTTCGGTTTATTCTCAGAACACTGAGGAGGATTGGGGTAAAAAGCACCATTGACTGGCCCCTGACCACGGGAATGGGGCTTTGAAGAACACTGATGAGAGAGGGTGGTTCCCCCCCGGCCAGCCCCGCCTCTGCCGGCGAATGCCGGTCGCCAGGCCTCTGAGCTTCCCGGTGGGCCGGGCGACAAGGGCCCGGCCTGAGTCACGGCGGGCGCCTGCAGCCGGCCCTCGGTGCCGGAGGCCCGGCCAACAATCCGGCCTTTCTGCCCCCTGTTCCCTCGGGCCAGGGGGCCTCAGGCCCTGACTTCAGGTTTGGAAAATGTGGCTGCTTCCCGACGAGCAGGAAGAGGAGACACAGGAGAGCAGGGGGGGGAGGCTTAGGCTGCTCTGGGCTCCAACCGAGGCAGAGGGGGCGCGGGGGGGGGGGGGGGGTGAGGCCCCAGCTCGCCACAGCTGGGCCCCAGGGCTGCTGTGCCTGTGGAGGGGCCGGAGGTACAATAGCTGGTGGGGAGAGTGGGGGAGTGGGGTGGGGGGGGTAGGGGGCAGGAACGTGGTGGGGGCCGGAGGTAGCTGGTGGGGAGAGTGGGGGAGTGGGGTGGGGGGGGTAGGGGGCAGGAATGTGGTGGGGGCCGGAGGTACAATAGCTGGTGGGGAGAGTGGGGGAGTGGGGTGGGGGGTAGGGGGCAGGAACGTGGTGGGGGCCGGAGGTAGCTGGTGGGGAGAGTGGGGGAGTGGGGTGGGGGGTAGGGGGCAGGAACGTGGTGGGGGCCGGAGGTAGCTGGTGGGGAGAGTGGGGGAGTGGGGTGGGGGGGGTAGGGGGCAGGAACGTGGTGGGGCGGAGGTAGCTGGTGGGGAGAGTGGGGGAGTGGGGTGGGGGGGTAGGGGGCAGAAACGTGGTGGGGCGGAGGTAGCTGGTGGGGAGAGTGGGGGAGTGGGGTGGGGGGGTAGGGGGCAGGAACGTGGTGGGGCGGAGGCGGCCAGGGAGGGGTTAAGGCTGAATCTCCGGGGCTGGGCTGGCGGGGGCCAGGCCGGTAGCCGCCGAGCAGCTCAGAAATCTATTTTCCTAAGCACTTGGCATTTGCCTAAAACCTCAAGTGTATTTTCCCTCCGTTTTATTTTTTCTTTGACCCCAAACTCTGGTAAATTTAAGGGAAATTTAATTATGATGTTTTGGGTCCATTTACACTTAGACCTTCTCGGCGTTTTTTCCGAGGCCCGTTGGAGCTCCTAAACCAGCGTTTTTATTATTATTATTTTTTGAAAAGGCTGCGTCCACCCCCCCACCCTCCGCCCCCAGCACAGCCTTCCTGCCAAGAATAAACAAGCCGCTCTGCAGGAGCCCGGCCCGGCCCCGGGGCCAGCCCAGCAGCCTCCTCCTGCCCGGGGCCTCCCCCCAGCGGATGCCCTTCCCCTGGGGCCTGCTGGCCTGCCGCCGCCTCCAGGAAGCCCTGCGAGCTTTGCTGGAGTCCCGGCCGCAGCCCGGGGCCTGAGCTCCTGGGCCCCGCTGGTCCCTGCACAGGCGCCCATGGACAGCCCCCCGCCGCTGGCTCAGCCACAGGTCCCCCGTTCAGGGGGCGCCAGTCCTCACACCAGCCCAGCACCCGGCCCCATGGGCAGGCGGGGACGTGGGGGCATGGACTCGGGGGTATGGCCGCCCCAGGTGCCCAGGAGGCTTTGGCTGAGCTCAGAGGGAGGGGGCGCCTCTGCTGTATGTAGGGGGCAGGAGTGCAGGGAGGGAGGGGGCGCCTCTGCTGTATGTAGGGGCCGGAGTGCAGGGAGGGAGGGGGCGCCTCTGCTGTATGTAGGGGGCCGGAGTGCAGGGAGGGAGGGGGCGCCTCTGCTGTATGTAGGGGGCCGGAGTGCAGGGAGGGAGGGGGTGCCTCTGCTGTATGTAGGGGCCCGGAGTGCAGGCTGGACCCCCCAGCAGCTCCGATCCCGCGCACCAGGGCCGGGCACCCAGCAGCCAGAGGGAGCAGGCAGCCCCCATCCCCGCCCCCACCCAGGTCCGGCCGGATGCTGGCGCGGCGCTGCCCGGAGCTCATTGGAGGAGGCAGAGTGTGCAGGGCAGACGGGCCGAGGCTGGGCAGGGGCCGCCGGCTCGCCAAGAGGCTGCGGCTGTCAGGACCCTGCTCCCTGAGGGTCCCTGCCCGGCCCACCCTGAGCCCCCACCCCTGCGCCCAGCCGAGGCCAGCCTCTCTGCCCAGGGGGACAGCGCAGGGGGCGCGGCCCCGAGCCAGGCTGCCCCGGCCAGCTCAGCCCCCGGCTGGTGCTGCCAGGGCACTGGGCAGGGCGAGAGCTGCAGGGCCATT